CCCTTTACTAGGTAGGGACGAGAAATCTAGGAACTTATGCTTTTTAAGTCTCTCTAAACAATATATTATATATGTATATATATGCATATATATCACTGTCATCACTGTCCTCCCGTTGTTCATCGATTTGCTCGAGCAGGCACAGTAACGTCTCCATTGTGAGACTTGTTGTTACTGTGTTTGGCATATCGAACACGTCACGGGAAGCTTGCCAGGCTTTGCCATGTGGGCGAGACACTCTCGGTAGCTTGCCGGGCTCTCCGAGAGGGACAGAGGAATCGAACTCGGATCGGCCATGTTGGCTGCGTGCAAGGCAAACGCCCTACCGCTGTGCTATCGCTCCAGACTATGCATACATATATATATATATATATATATACATATTTTTTAGCTCTTAGGTATATAATTTCTAGGTATATATCTGTAAATCATATACCTTTAGTTTATAGGTATATCTAAATTATTCCCCAGATATCCTAGCTATGTGCCAGATCTAAGAGATAAGAAAACTAAAGATTTAATTTCTTTTTTTTTAAAACTTTACTTTTAATTTATTTATATTTTTTGCTTTTTGGGTCACACCCGGCAATGCACAGGGGTTACTCCTGGTTCTGTGCTCAGGAATTACCCCTGGCAGTGCTCAGGGTACCATATGGAATGAATGCTGGGAATCGAATCCAGGTGGGCCGCGTGCAAGGCAAACGCCCTACCCGCTGTGCTATTGCTCCAGCCCCCTTAATTTCTTTTTTTAATTGGATTTTTCTATTTTTTTCTTTTTGGGTCACACCCGGCAATGCACAGGGGTTAATCCTTGGCTCTGCAGTCAGGAATTACCCCTGGCGGTGCTCAGGGGACTATATGGGATGCTGGGAATTAAACCTGGGTCAGCCACGTGCAAGGCAAACGCCCTACTTGATGTGCTATTGCTCCAGCTCCTTAATTTCTTTTGCTTCTTTAAAAAATACAAACACACATACACACCCTACCTTTGTTTTTGTGCCACATCCATCTGTGCCCAGGGTTTACTCCTGATTCTGTGCTCAGGGATCATTTCTAGCAGGCTCAGGGGACCATATTGGGTAACAGGGATTGAAGCTGATGGGCTACATACAAGGCAATCATCCTACTCACTGTACGATCTCTCTGGCAAGCACGCTACCCAGTTTATTATCTCTCTGTCCCCCTCAAGTGGTTTTTTTTTTTTTTTTTGCTTTTTAGGTCACACCCAGCCATGCTCAGGGGTTACTCCTGGCTCTGCACTCAGGAGTTCCTACTGGCGGTGCTCAAGGGACCATATGGGATGCTGGGAATCGAACCCAGGTCGGCGACATGCAAGGCAAACACCCTACCCGCTGTGCTATCTCTCCAGCCCCCTCAAGTGGTTTTTCATGGGGTTTTCCAAGCATCTGCTCCCAGAAGTGCTGGGGACCAAAGGACCAAACCAGCAATGCTCCTACTCCAATTTGGGCCTGATACTTGCAAGGGATGATGCACATACGACCCCAGCATCATCTCCCCAGACTCTTCCCTACCTCCCGTGCTGGGGATTGAACCCAATGCAATGTGCTGCAGCCCACTGAGCTATCCCCCAGCTCTTTTGCTTGGTACATGTTGCTTGAAGCTGGTAACAACTCTAAGCGTGTTGAATGCATTTTGTGACCGACTCGATTCCTATACATCTGTCTTCCTATTCAGTAGTCAGTGCCTGAACTTTATCTGGACCCTCTGCCACTTCTATTATGCCTTTCACAGATAATTCTCCTTTCATATGCAACACAGCAGAACTCAAATCATGCTCCATTAATTTCTGGAACTTCTGCAGATGTATTTTTGGTTGCATCTGCTGAATACAAAAATGAAACACTTGGGAGACAGGTCACTCCTTTTGTATTCAGCAAGTTTGTAATCAATTATTCTCTCTGAAGAAATTTTAGTCATGGGTCAGAGCGCAATGGTAGAGCACTTGTCTGAGCATGCATAAAAACTGGGTTTGATCCTTGGCATCACAAAAAAAAAAGAAAAAGAAAAAAGAAATAAAAAATTGTAGTGGCTTTTTCATTTTCTTTTCTGGGCAGACCCAGTTTTTTACTCAGGGTGTATTCTTTTTTTTTTTTTTCTTTTTGGGTCACACCCAGCGATGCTCAGGGGTTACTCCTGGCTCATGCACTCAGAAATTAATCTTGGCGGTGCTCGGGGGACCATATGGGATGCTGGGAATCGAACCTGGATAGGCCATGTTGGCTGCATACAAGGCAAACGCCCTACACGCTGTGCTATTGCTCCAGTCCCCAGCCAGGGAGTATTCTTGACTCTGTACTTAGGGATCACTCCTGGTGGTACTCAGGGTGCTGGGAATTAAATCTATGTCAGCTGCATGCAAGGAAGGTGCCCTACCCGCTGTATTCTCCAGTCCCATTAATTGTATTTATTTTTTAAAACCAAAAAGTGTAAAATACATCTAAGTGTAAAATAAATCTAAGAGCTCCAAGCCTGCTCAGATTGGGACTGAGCCTCCTCCACCCAGATCCCCCATCTTCCAGTATGTAGATGTTACACCCACCAACTGCCCTGGTGCCGTGTAATCCCATTAACGGTCAAGACCCAGAGACTATAAAACCCAGCTCCCGGAAGCGACATCTTATTATCTAGTTCTTACTCTGGAAAACCTGGCAGGTACCAAAAGTATCCTGCCCACACGGCAGAGTCTGGCAAACTCCCCGTGGCGTATTCAATATGCCAAAAACCAGTAACAATGATGGGTCTCATTCTCCTGACCCTGAAAGAGCCTCGAATGTGGCACTTTCTAAAATCTTAGGGCCAGGACAAAGGAGACATGACTGGTGCCTGCTCGAGGAAATCGATGAACAACAGGATGACAGTGATGTCAGTGAAGAGCTTTATAGTCATAAGTCTTTGCTTTGCCAATGAAAAGATCTTGCTCGAAGATGAAACCATTTATAAAGAAAAGCTTGAATGACATGAAATAAGCCTCATTTTAGTTGTAGTAGGAAACTCTAAATAAAAAACACCAAACAATAGAGTCCTGGTGGAAGCTGGACACAAAGATTATTGTCGCCTCACTTTCTTTGAAGTCAGCACAATGCTTCTGTTCCTCTCCCGACTTCTTTATTTGGTACCCAGTCAGTCTCTGAAACACAAAGGACCTCCTCCCCCATCCAGGAAATGATTTCTTGTGTTGTTTGACTCCTTCAACCCTACAATGCTTACACTGGTACCTTACAAGCCTTCTCCATTGTGGGTTTCTTCCATGTACGCAATCTTGTTGACACAAACGCTATGGAATAGAACTCAGAGCTCCTGTAGGTCTAATCCATTGAGTTTTGGACTCCCCGGGGAAATGAAACACAGTCACCCATCCCACCACAAAGTGAGCCTCGGCTGAAAAAAAAAAAAAAAAACCAAGTCAACAAAACTGACCCAAACTTAAACTTGAGTTTAAACCCAAAAAGCAAAAAAAAAAAAAAAAAAAAAAAAAAGTTTAAAATACCCATGGTTCTTAAAAGTTTTCCACAGCCTATGTCCTCATCGAACAAGAACTTGAGTTTTGATTGACTTTTAGTGTGAAGTAAATGGTACACCTGAGACTTCCTGGATTCACAAGTCATCACTTGTTCAAAGGCTGGACCTGGACGGTAATTTCCATGAACATTCACTTTTGCTTGTGTCTTTCATTCTCTCAGGAATATTTACCTGGAGTTCTCTCTGTTGGGAAGCACCGAGACTACTGTGTATTGTTTTCGAATCAATGGTGGTTCCACTGTGAACAGGGCCTCACCCTGTGCTCATGACTAAGTTCGGAGCACGTGTGATGAGTTCTGTGACTTCAACCTGGTTCATATTTCATCCATTGTTCATGACAACTGGAGCTACAGTGCCTGTATCATGGCGTTGCTAATTACGGTGATGTGAAGTAACCTCGTCAAAACCGTGTCCAACCCCAAACTCAAGAATAATTAGACACTTTAAAGCAGGCTCTATTAATGCACATCCCCAATTCACAACTTCAGAAATGTCATGGGTCTAACTCATCTTTGCTCCAAGCACAATCTTTTTTGGGTGTGGTGGTAGGGGTTTGGGCCACACCTAGGTGTGCTCAGGGCTTACTCCTGGCTCTGTGCTCAGAAATCACCCCTGTCAGAGTTTAGGGGACCATATGTGGTGCTAATGGAACCTGTATGGCTGCATGCAAGGCAAGTCATGTCCTCTATCCCCTGTACTCTCTCTCTCTCTCTCTCTCTCTCTCTCTCGGCCCGCAAAACACAATATTAAGATCTTCACTCTTCTCTGACAATAAGGCAACAAATACTGTCTTTAAACTAAAGCTAAGATTGTACCATGTGGTTTGTATTGTGACCTGTAATGGTAGTGAGAATTTTTTTTCAGTGTTGGGAATGGATTATATAAATATATTTTTGTATTCATGAAGTGAAGGGCATATAGGTTTAGGAATGAAAAAGACCTGGGTTCAAACGTGTGCCATTTGCTGAGTAATTTTGACCAAGTTATTTCAGTGAATTTGTATGTCAAACAGGATTAATACTACCTTCCTTAAAATACTGTGATAGTAATAATTAAAGTCCTCGGCATACTCCTTCAATACTATACACTCGATTAATGTTAGTTACTATTTTTTATTATCCAGGAATTTGAATTGGCTAAAGAATCCATCATTTTTCAGTCTTCTCAGAAGAAATACTCAGTTAAAAATATATTAATCCCAGGAGGCTGTTAAATGCCTATAAAGATTAACAAATGGGTAGAAAAGGTTAGAACACCACACACACACACACACACACACACACACACACACACACACAACCATGCTTTCAATCTGCTTGATGAACACACACACATATACAAACACACGTTCATGTTTTCAATCCTGTTTGAGGACAATGCCCATGGTTCTTGAAAGTTTTCAATAGCCTGGGACCTCTTACAACATAGACATCTCATTAAAAGGGGAGAGGAGAGGAAACTGCTATATTTTTTTGTCATTAGCAAAATAATGACTCCCATGTGCAGGGATGCCAGTCTGAGGAGAAGAAACAACTCGGAGGTCATGGATGGACCTCACTGTCCAATGTGAAAGCTCCTGTAGCACTTTGAGACCCCACAACTTCTTCTCGAAGAGACCACCGTCTCCGCCAATGGGTATCCCATCAGGATCACTGGGGGGGATCTTGTGTTCCAGGAGGACCATTAATTCTTCCAGTTGATACGCAAAGGCGGAAACTTGGAGCAGGAGCCTATGTATTGCTTGGTGGAAGTCACCTTCAGCTGGGGTAAAGTGCACCTGTTGGTCTTCTAACAGCCTGCCCAACATGACATGGAAAGTGCGATAGGCTTGGAGATTCTCCTGAAGTCGCTCTGCCTCAGTCAGCTCACTCCAGCGATCGGTGCTTGCCATCGGCACCCCATCCACAGAGTCCAAATTTATGTTCTCATTCAGGCCTTGATGCTTCACCTGACCGAGGACACAGGAAAACATGACATCGTTGGCAGCTACCCCCAACATTTTCATCTCAATTTTATGTAAAATCTTTATTTTCCTTGTAGAGGATCCAAATGGTAAACAAAAGGATATTTCTTTGGGTGGGGTCTAAAAACATTTTAGGAAAGTGATATTTTTTTTTTTTTTGGTTTTTGGGTCACACCCGGCGATGCACAGGGGTTACTCCTGGCTCTGAACTCAGGAATTACTCCTGGCGGTGCTCGGAGGAACCATATGGGATGCTGGGAATTGAACCTGGGTTGGCTGCGTGCAAGGCAAATGCCTGCCCACTGTGCTATTGCTCCAGCCCCGGAAAGTGATATTCTTGAAAAAAAAAAAAATACACACACACACACACACACACACACTGCTTTGACTACCTGTTCTGTTTTCTTGGGAGGAGCTACAACTATTAGGTTCTAAAAGTTGAAAAGTACTGGGGTCTAGAATAATTCTTTCTTCCCAGAAACTGGACTGTTTTCATAATAGAACTCAAGGGCTTTAAATATATGTAAAGGCTCCAGGAAATTCTAGGACCTATCTATTATAAAGTGTTCCTATGTGCTCTCTCCTCCACTGTCTCCTCTCCATGTGAGGATAAGCTTTAGAAAATTCAGTGGGCATTAACGTCTCCCACCAAACAATTGGTACCTCAAAGTCTGATTTATGACCGGAAGTGGCATATGAAGATAAACCAAATATCAGAGAATTTAAATTCAGGAGTCTACAGAACAACCTAGGTGTTTCACAGCATGTCTTTGCAAGAACCTGATGGGGAGGTCCCTCTATCAGATAAATCTGAAACATGGTTAGTTCCTTAAGAATTTGACACCCAATTTCCCAGGTGATCCTTCTGTTAGCACAGGTAGCCTATTAAGACGCTGGTGCACTTACAATACATATAAAATAAAGAGGTTGTCTTGGAAAAAAAAATGGTTGGGGTTATATTCTCTTCTATGCACTCCTATAATCCCTCAATCTGTTTTGTTTACAGAGATTTAATTCTGAACAGGGTTTATAAAAAAACCAAATTTAAAGGGTCCATGATGAATTTATCCTGGTAGAATTCAAATTATCAAATTAGGAAGAGCCTTCATGACAGTCAATCCTGCCTAGAATCCCACATATATTTTCTTATTTATAAGGAATAAATTTCAACTAAAGAAAACCTGGCCCGAAGCTTCCTACAGGGTCATGTCAAATGAGAGGGGCCCAATATAGATTAAGGCATTCACAACTGATAATGGGGCTGGGCTAGGAGGCCAAAGGGCTGGATCAGAAGAGATGAAGTGAAAATAGACAAGAGGAAAACAGGCAACTTACATAAGACTCCATAAGGGCAGCCAGGTCTGAACGGATCTTCCTTGCTAGCCAGATAGAACGGCTACAGAGGTCCCGGCGGACAGGGGTCAGCGGTGAAGGCTCTGCATAAGCCATTCCCTAACTCAACTGTCCCAGGAAACAAGTGAGCTGACTTCACTTCTGTCTACACTGATCCAAGTAAGAAATGTGACTCTCAGACTAAATCCACTGGGCATTCTCTTCTAATGGGATTGTGCACCCCACCCCCACCCTCGGCCTGACTCAGAGGTGGCAGCAAATTCCTGGCTGTGGATTTTTGTGCCTGTGGAATCAAAGGCCCCTTTCTAATCATTTTTTTTCCCTCTGCAGCTTCTGCCTCCATCTCTCCCCCCCCTCAGTGCCTTGCATACTTGTTTTTATGTAATTGTTTTGGTGTTGCACCTAGCAACAAGGTCACTATCCACTAATCCTCATGACACCCCTGCCTAATATAATCCGTTTTATACACACACGCACAGTTCATTATCACTCTAACTTGTGCCCCTTTTATCTTTTTAAACTGGTACAAGTACTTTTTGTACATTGTCATTTACTAGGAACTTAACCTGAGTCTAAAACTCTTTCAAAACTTTTAATCTAATTTTATGAAGCATCTCCTCCAATTTGTAGATGAACTCAAGAATTATTAATGCACACAAAATCCACTAACTAGGGCTCGAAACTTAAATGCCTTTGATTATGTAGTTGTTCTTCTTCTCATTGACTTATTTTCATTCTTGGGGTATTTCACATTTTGCTCACGGAACAAAAGCTCATGTGTAACAAGTCCTTTAAAACCACATGTTCTTTCACTCTTACCCTTTGTAATGTATTTGAATCAAATCATATGTACTTGACTAAAGCCAACGAAGTAGAATCTCTCCCCTCAGTCATGGTGTCTGTCTTTTCCTGTTTCACGATGAGGAAGGCACTGTCCAGGCTTGCTCTTTTCCCAAGGACAGTTAAATATCCAATGATAACAATTTTTAGGCAGCCTCACTCAAGTGACAACATGCTTTCATCTTTCGTTATCTCAAACATAACCACAACTGTAAACAAAATAAACAGTGGGCTTTGAAATCAGGGCAGGAGTTCATAAATGCTTTTGGAGTAGTTCTACTGCATTGAAATCTGTAGGTTCGATGATGCCAATTGGGTAAGAGCTTCAAGTTTCAACCCTGAATGAATCAATCTGGTTTCACTATTTCATACCCGAGACATCTCTACACAGAAGCACGTCTTCTCAGGGGCAAATTTCTTTAGATAAACCATAAATGAGATTAAGGGAGGAAAACAATGAGGTCAGGTGGCTAGTCACAATTTTAGACCACAGGAAGAATTTTCTTGAGGTTAGTGCTTGACATGAACGTGGAGTTTTGTGAAGCAATATGAAATACTATCAAGGCTCTAGGGCTGGAGTGACAGCACAGCGAGTAGGGCATTTGCCTTGCATCTGGTTGACCCGATTGACCGGAGTTCGATTCCTCTGCCCCTCTTGGAGAGCCTGGCAAGTTACCAAGAGTATCTCGCCTGCACGGTAAAGCCTGGCAAGCTACCTGTGACGTATTTGATATGCCAAACACAGTAACAACAAGTCTCACAATGGTTCTGTGCCTGCTCGAGCAAATCGATGAACAATGGGAGGACAGTGACAGTGACAATCAGGGTTCTAGAATGAACAGCAGCCCTCTTCGCTACTAGATTAAAATGACCACTTTCCTACTGAAAAATTAATTTCTAAGTCTATCACATAATTGCAGACGATAAGGCACCAATGCATTAGGAATGAAGAACTAAATCAAAACTCCTGATTTTCAACAAAAGCAGGTGTACCTGTCTATAAAATTTGAAGATACTTGGTTTACTGATTAATCTAGCAGTTATTTTTTTCACCCCTAGGATAACTGTAACTCAGTACAACCAAGGAAGACAAGTTGCTTCCATGAAGACTTTTATTTTTCTTCTTTACATATTTATTTTGTATATGACTTATCTAGATTAAGAGAAAACAAGGATTTGAAAAGCAGAGTATCCCTTTTATTATAATTTCTTCTTACATAACCTTTTCCAACCTAGATTCAGGCAGCTAACTACCTGTGTCTCCAATCAAAAGAAGGGTCCTGCACATTACAACAGGCATTAAAAAAAAAAAAAGCTTTCAGGAAATAAAATATTTAAAATTGATCTATTACAATTTTTCAATTTGAATACATTGGAAAGGGGAAAAACAAGTTGGGGAAATGGTGCTTCAACCAGACTAAAAAACCTTGGTTAGGCTTAGTACACTCTACATTTTTTCTCTGAACAGGTACAAAGGAGGTTCAAGTGCTCTTATGCGGATGTTTTCCCTTATTTTTTTAAACTCCCAGTAATCCTGGCCAGTGTTTAGGCTAATTCTGAAGCATATTAAGTCTCATCAATGCAAAATGACCCTGGGCAACCACAAACAAGGGGAAGCACATCTCGAAACAATACTTGTATGTCAATTACTTTTCAGAATTTAGAATTTTCAGTTCAAGATGGATATGAGGTGGGAAGTTATTTAAAAAGCAACAGAATCTAAGATTAGGAATGCATATTTTTAAGATTAAAGAGCTCACTGGAAGGACAATGAAGAGATAAGCCTGAGGAGAAAGAGTGCCTAGTGAACAACTAGTTTACTTACACCAACCCCTTTCTATGCTAGCATCCCTTTCTCAAAAGAAAAAAGATCAAGTCCATGTAGAATATTTCTAAAATTTACTGCAAAATGCTAAAGAGAATTGTAGGCAAAGTGACAGCTACAGCAAGGGGCAGAGGGGAGGTGGGGATAAGAAAGCAAAAAGTATCTAGTTATTAGAACGATTTGCTCTTGGTGAGGAGTATGTTATCAGTAAGAACACTTTCTATCTCAAAGTTTTTGTTAATGCAGCTTGTTTTTGCGTAGGTAGCTGAAACATCTAATGACTAACCACTGCAAATGTAATTTATAGAGAGAAGGGATAAATGTGAAAGTAGTCAAGGTACAGGGATATATGCTAAACAGCACAAAATGGGACTTTTATTGGAGTGGAACCATACTGTTCCAATCATTCCTCTAATACTTTGAAATCTATCCAACAAACCAAAGTTAACTCCAAATCCTTATTGTAGGCAGAAAAGCGTATTATACAGCCCTTCTATCCTTACTTCAATTTCTACCCCCTCACTGGAGGGATCGCAAATCTGCAAGACTCTTAAAAAAAAAAAAAAACAATAGTGTATTTGACTTTCAATGTAGGTGTTTTACTCCCTATTTCCTGGCAGTTCATCCACTGACACTAGTGGGTGTAAAGTAAGCCTCTTTCAGAAATGACATTTTGTTGTCTCTCTTTGGGGAGGGGGAGGGGAAAATCAAAGAAAAAATTGACAAATTTTGCAGTTTTAGTGTTTGTGAAAAACAAGCTGTTCCTTATTTTGTTCTCGGGATAACTTCATTCTTTCCAAAAGCCATCATACATTTCTGACAACAATGAATAGGGCAAGTCTTTAATTCCAGTTTCTGAGATACAGAGAACAGAAATTGCCCTTCTAATTTTCCTAAAAATGAGCAAAATAGGTTTTATAGTTTTTTATGATATAAACTTGTACAAAAACCTTCTCTACCAGAGATGATAATAAGCAACCCACCCCAATCTACCTTTAGAAAAGCAGCAAGACCTTAAAAATTTCAGGTGACAGCCAAATCTTTACGCAAATTTACTTTTGTCAATTGAGACTTTTCCTCTTTTAAAGTGTAATTAAAGGGAAACAAAAACAGAGGCATTTTGACTGTGACTCAGACCATTCCTTTGCTGATGGCAGTGTCCTTCACTAAACGGGAGTCGGAATGAACCAATGATAAAGCAAAGCACAAACAAAAAGCAAAAGGACAAAACAAAAACTTGAGCCAATAAGAAGGTATGTGTAAAATGATGGGGGCAAAAAAAAAAATACAACCACAAAACAAAAACCAATCCAAAACCAAAAAAAATTCACAAGAGAAAATCTTTTATCTGTAATTCAGACCCTGAACAACCCTTCTCACTCCCCGTTAAATTCCTAAATCTCAATGCTCTAAGAACTCAAAGAGCACTAAATACCACAAACCTAACGTCCTTTGCTAAAAGGCTTCCAAAAAAAGCACTAGGCTACTGTAGTGATTTTGTTAGTGCTGAGGACCAGCTTTCTTTAAAGGCCACTGGAGAGCTATGATTTGAGAGGCTGGCTATGCTTCTTTAAACCTATATTTTTGCCTTCAAAAGTACCTCTTACGGAAATGTCAGAATAATTGAATCTCTTCCAGCCCCACAAAATATAGCAACGAAGACAAAAAAGAAAAAAAAATCAAATCAGACTTTCCATTAATAAATAAGGAATCTCAGGTTCCACAACACAAAACACACATGTTCAAAGTGCAAATTTCTGCCATGAGTCTGGGACGTGTCTCACTGATGCAGAGCCCTGCCCTACGGTCACACGGACCCTAGAGAGGGCAGCCCCCTCTCTGGTGGGAGCCTGCTTCCAAGCAAGTGAGCACCATTGAGAACCATATGGAAGAGTTGGAGGGGCGGGGAGAGGGGCGGGTGCAGGGGTCAAAGAGGAAGAAGGTGGTCCCCATGTATCCATCTTTTCCCGAACCCGGTAGGTGGTAAAGGAAAAGGGGTGAGAGTAGTGTGCTGTTTTAACAGCTCACCTTGCTAAGGGGCCCTAAAGTGCCAAGTCAAGCTGCCAGCCTCCAGAGAGTAGAGTTATATGATATTTGGAGGGTTAAGTGTGCTGCAATGGAGAGAAGCCAGAACCATAAGGCAGCAGTAAGGAGAAGGGGTTTAGAGTACAGTAATATACTAGGAAGTTAAAAGCTGATCTGGGGCACATCAGTTACATGTTCCAAAAGGGGATCTGCTGAGGAGCAGACGTCTGCTCGGCTGGAGTTGCATATAAGAACCCGCACTCTAAGAACTGCTTCTTCATCTACCTTTCTGGTAAAGGCAACATCAACTTTATAAAGGGGCAATAGAGGGAGAAGAGGGGTGGGTGTATGTGTGTGTACTGTGATCCACAATGGAAAGAGCAGGCCCTTCAGTTATTTTACTAGATATTAAATGCTTTAAATTTTTTTTTGTCCTTTTTATCTTTAAATACAAAGTCTGAGCTGTCCCAGTGCCCAAAGTCTTCCTTTCCACTAAGGTCCAGTAGAGTCTGAATCTTCAATCAGAACCTCTGTGGTAGCACCGAGTATATCCGAGTTCATGACCAGCCCTTCAGTGCCCCCGCTGCTGCCGCTGCCCACAAAGATCTTCCCGTCAGCCATCAGGCTCACCCGTTCCGTCCCACTACAGTAAGCCTTGGACATTCCTTCCGCCTCGAGCAGCAGGCACTCTCCGGAGGTGGAGTTCCCCAGGGGCTCGGGGAGGAGGGGCAGGCCCTGACCGTCTGCAGGTTGCGCCAGGGACTCGGGGGTCGTGCCCAGTATATCCGTGCTGGTGATGAGGGCGCCTGCATTGGCAGCCAGAGCTTCAGCAATCAGCACCTCGGGGTGGCTTTTTGCTTTGTGAGCCACTACACTGTCCTTCTTCTCAAATTTTTTGCCACAGATATTGCAAGAGAACTGGTAGAAGGAGTCTGCATCGTGCTTCTTCATGTGCCAATTAAGGGACGCCTTTTGCCGACAAGTAAATCCACAGATTTCGCATCTAGGGAGAGTGGAAGAGGAAAGGGCTGATCAAACAGATAAAAAGAGAACTCTTATTCAGGGTCAGGGGTCACGGATTTTATTTGACAGCTAACAGAAGCAACAGAACAGCTCAATTAGTCAATACACACTTTTTATTTATTTTTATTTTTTTGTTTTTTGGGTCACACCCAGCGATGCTCAGGGGTTACTCCTGGCTCATGCACTCAGGAATTGCTCCTGCCGGTGCTCAGGGAACCATATGGGGTGCTGGGAATTGAACCTGTGTTGGCCATGTTGGCTGCGTGCAAGGCAAACGCCCTACCCGCTGTGCTATCGCTCCAGCCCCAGTCAATACACACTTTTAGACTTGGTGAAAGTAAAGAGCAGTGGCAGCTGGAATGTTTGTAAAGGGGCTAACCCTTGACTGGGCTCTAAGTACTTCCCATTCAGACATTCACCAGTTACATAAATACTCACTGTAATGGCTTCTCGCCAGTGTGAATCATCCGGTGAACTGCCAAATTGTGGGAACTCTTGAAGGCTCGAGCACAATATTCACAGATGTAATCCCTTTGATCTAAGGAAAAACACAAATGTGGTTAGTGTTTCATTTAGAATCCCTCTTCATAATTTTTTCTAGCTTCTATTAAGTTGATGGATGATCCACAGGTCAATTTAGAGTAAAAATCAATAGTATTTTCAATATTTAAAAACATTGTAGATCAATAAAATCTAGAAGAAATAAAGTTTTCATCTTAAAATCAATTTTACCAGTAATATAGGCCTGAAGATAAAGACTTTTTACTTACCCTTACAGCAAGCAAGTAACTATTTTTCATGGATTTTATTTTTTGAAAGGCCCATCACCCCAATTGTTAAGAATCAAATACGTATTTACAGAATATGGCGTTCAAAACAAACAACACAATGATGACCATCACCTAACACTTGCAGAAGGGCCTATATAAACTGGATTTGCCCAGGGTTGGAAGTTTCAAGTGCTTGGGGAAAGGGCAGTTGGGATAGAGATGGGACAACTACAACAAAGATAGTTGGAAACAGTCACTCTGGATAAGAACCGTGTGCTGAAAGTAGGTAAACAAACAAAGGTAACCTCTCAGTATCTGTATTGCAAACCACAATGCCCAAAAGGGGGGGCACGGGGGATGGTGAAAGGGATGGTGAGAGTGGGTAGAGAGGAGAGGATGGGTGAAGGAAAATTGGGATCCTTCTTGGTGGGAAATGTACACTTGTGGAGTGATGGGTGTTGGAACACTGTATGACTGAAACCCAATCATAGCTTTGTAACTCTGTATCTCATGGTGACTGAATAAAAAATAAATTAAGACAAAAACAAATAAAACAAACAGTGCTAATTCAGGTAACAACTTAGTATTTCGTAGGTCTTATCGACTTTCCCAGCTCAAAAGTAGTATGGTTAAGTTACCTAGACAGGAATTTCACTCACTTAACCTGGATTTTCCTTTTTCTATTTGTTCAAAGAAAATTAAAATTTAGAGTTACTCAGAAGAGGCAAACTCTAACAATAACACAACAAAACCATTAACCAAATACAAATACCTGGAATGGACGGAAAAATTCTCCAACAGTCTGAAACAGTAGGCTACCATCTGAAATTACTTTTCTATGGGACAGAAGAGTAAGGAAGGAGGAATGGAGACATGGCAGCACCCATCAGGAAATAAGAGCAGAAACAGTTCTGAACAGATTAAGAGCCTAGTTCAAAGCCTCGTGTTGTAAAAATCTATGCTGTTGCTGCACGTCTTGTGAAGAGTACAGCACTTTATATGATCTCATTTCATCTCTGTAACTCTGGTACTGGCATCAATCGCTATTTTACAGGTGTGGAAAAGCGAGAAGAAAAACGAACTTCACTAAGCCACACAGATAAGTAAATGATGTAATAAGTAAATAGCTACATCCATCAGCACGATCTTTGGTAGGGCACTTCTACCCATTTTTTGGTAGGCTATTACCAAATCCTACCTATTTTGGTAGGATATTACTCTATAAGACTATTCAGGAAAAAATATTTGGAGCCTGTTATATAAGGGACTAGTGATATAGTTCAGGGGTAGTGCATTTGCCTGGTATATGTTGAAGCACAGGGTTCAATCCCTGGCACTCCACCAAAAAATAAAGGAAAGAAAGCAAAAAAAAAAAAAAGTGGCATGCACTTCAAAGGTCTAATCCAATTTATTCCTATTAGCTGTTCCACTGAGATTGTCAGTGGCTATAAGTGAATGGAATTTTAATGTAGCTTATAATATACACTCATTATGAAGAGTATATATTGAAGCACACTAGATTCTGCTGAAAACTAGCTGTGTGACTATGAGGAAGTTACTTAATGTTGCTAATTTCTTAGCTGTAAAACAAAACTAAACCAAGTGAACTTGGTGACGTTGGATAGGCAATAATGCCTATAAAGTCTGTAATCATAGCAAGATGCGGAAAATTCAATAAAATATTTCTAGGTCTTGAGTTCTTAAAGAAGCCTTAGGATGTAACTTCTAAAAACCTTATCTGTAGGCTGGAGCTATACTATAGTGAATAGAGTGCTTGCCTTGTATGCGGCTGACCCATGTTTAATCCCTGGCACGCTATATGGTGGCCCAAGCCCTGCCAGGAATTATCCCTGAGTGCAGATTCAGTCGTAAGCCCTGAGCGCCACCAGGTGTGGATCCAACCCATACCCGGACACTCCCAATAAAAACCTAGTCTGCTCATTCCCTCGTAAATGCTTATTTTACTTGTACTGCGAAACTCCTTTTCCCAATACTTGACTATACTCTTTAACAGCAAACTGCATTTAGCTTCTTGGTAATGAGTTTTGGTAATCATTTTGATTAAAAAAAAAAAATACCTGTATGATGTTTGGCATGCCGCAGAAGTTGCTTCTGGAGCCTGAAGAGGCGCCCACAGGAAGGATGAGGGCACACATATTTCTTCTTTAGCAAATGCTGATATTTAATGTGGTGCTAAATCAATAAAAGTAAAGAAGCATAAAAATGAAGTCCACTAAAGGAAAACCAAATACTCAGCACATGGGTAGAGGCTGTCCAGTGAAATCATTAAGAATTTAAAGTTTATGGAGGCTGGAGATCATACAGAAGTGAAGCTGTCCGCCTTGCACACAGCTGACCCTGCTTGATCCCAAATAATGAATGCATGTGGGTTCCCTGAGTACTGCGAGGAGCCATCCTTGGGCGCTACAGGGCCAGGAGTAAACTCTGAGCAATGCCAGGTGTGGCCCCCAAACAAAAACAGAACAAAGGCAGAAGAACTTAAATCTGTGAACTAGAGAGGGCTAGCTCCAATGGACAGAGCAAACCTGTATGGAGATGGCCCGTATTATGTTTAACAAAAACTCCCCCGCAAAAAAGGTAAACTACAGAAGGCTACAGAGATGTAGCACAAATACCAGAGCAATGATAGACATAAAGATTCTGAGTTGGATCCCTGGCACCATGGTCCATGCCACCCTCACAAGTATCCCCCACTGTAGGCTGGGCAGAGCCCCAAACCAGAAGGCCGCAGCATGAGCATGGCTCATCACAACAAATTAAAGAATATATCCTAGGGAGACAGACCAAAGGGGGAAATCCAGACTAGGTAATCATAAAGCTCTCTTCCAATCAGGGCCTGTCATTTACTTCCAGCATGACCTTAGCATAATGCACTTAGTTTCAATTCTCATTTGTGAAACACTGATAATGTTATTTCATGGAGCTGCTGTGAGGTCTCCAGAGATCACATATAACACTTACTGTAGCTAATGGCACAAAGCAAAAAATTAAGTCATTACCATTATTGTAAAAGCAGAATTTTTTTCTTAGTCTCATTTTTGCTGCAAGTAAGATGAAACAGGCATTCTTAAGCTGGCTTTCCTGAGGACCCAAATAAAGATGCAGCTTTCCTTATTTTTAATTTTTTTTATCTTTTGAAGAGTGTCCCTAACAATGCTTAAAGAGGCCTGGGACCACATGTGGCTATTTTTGGTTCACTTATACAGGTCTGATGGTTAAGTGCTTGGGCCCAACAGTGCTGGAAGCAAGCAGGGTTATGTCTGATAGTGCTTTGGGCACGTTCAGTGTCAGAAATCCCTATTTATGTGCATATACTCCAGCCCTAAAATCAAATTAAAAAATTACTTTAGGTGCCTGGGAGACAGTACAGAATTTCAGGGCCCAAGTCTTGCTATATGCCTTACCCAGATCCAATCCCAAGCACCACATGACATGGACAACAAGCCATGCATCCTTGGTCCTCCTGAGCACTGCTTGGAAATACTCTTCCGCTCCCCCACCAAATACTTTAGCGTAATTAAAGGAAAATCGCTTGAACTGTTGATTTTAAAACAAAACATATCAAGATAAAATCTACCTCTATCTTGGTATGTTATTATAGTGATTTCTTTTAAGTATTTATTCCCCAATGAGAAGCACGAGGATACATACAAGTTTACAAGAAATCCTTCGTTTGAACTCCTGGCCTTGTTTTTATTAAAAACAGAACAAAACAACAACAAAAACACAATGACTTTTTTCTCCATGTCTTACGTTATTGATCAAACCTACAAAATTTCATTAAGGAAGAGCTCCTTAATTATGAGAATTAGCAATGGAACTTAACCTAAAAAGATAACTTACATAATGGCTTCACTGACCTGCAAATAGCGAGGGTGAGCAAGAACAGTTCCGCACCCTTCCATCTCACAACGGACATACTGGATTGGAGGCTTTTTTCTATTATCAACATGTAAGAGAGGAATTAGTAGCAAATAAAGCAGTTTGCAGCAGGAACTTTAAACCTCAAACTGTACTATAGGGAACAGCTATTTTACAGTACAAAAGATGAAAAAGGAACCCTTTACTTGCATATAGCTTTGTACAGAATTTGTTAAGATATAACCAGAATTTGCCAAATGTTTGGAGACTGAAACAAGTCAAAAGACACACATTAAAAAAAAACCCCACAAAATAAACTAGAAATACACAAAAGGCAACGTATTAAAAGTATTTAGTAGCTTAAGAGTCCAGTCAAAATTAATAACAAAGTAGCATTACATCAAGGGCATTACTGAGACTGTCCTTGTGAACTCTTAAGATAGCTAACCCTGTTAACTATTATGGGAGCTGACCTTTCTTTGGCATACAAGCGGCCCAGCTCTATGACATCTCGAAGAGATGCGCAGCTGAGTTGTCACAAGTAGGCCTGGACTCTGGGCTGAGATCTCTGAAGCTTCCTCAGGATGGAGGTGGGCCGAGTCCTGCCCTGCAGGAGGCCCAGTGCTCGACCCACAACCAGCTTCCTCTGGCATACAAACGGACCAGCTGCTCGACTAATCTCAAGGAGAAGAGACACCAGGCTGCTGAATCATCCCAGTTCCATGGCTACTGGGACACATAGTGGCATACGCAAATTTCACAGTAGGAGCCCAGTAGGAGCACAGCAAATTACATGAGAAGCGGTGGGCTCAGAGAAGCCCACTAAGCTCAGAGAGTGAAAAAAGTAACACAGAAGGCTCAAATTGCACCGAACAGCTCAGTACATCTTCAGACAATGATTTCAGTAACACCAGTATGAGATATATTTGCAATAAGCAATATAAAGTAAACAATTCTGTGCCTGCTAAGGGAGCAGGCTTGGGGAAGGGGTGGTGAGTAATAGCAAATGTTGGTGGAGGGAAGGTCACAATGGAGGTAGGATTGTTGCTGGAAGACTGAAGATCTGAAATAACTGCATTGTGAACAACTCGGTAAATCATGGTGTTTAAATAAATGAAGTTTCAAACATAAAAAAATTGTTATGGTCTTAAAAGATGTAAATTACGTAGCTGTCATGAGAAACATGGTGTGATACAATAGAAAAGCAAATCACTCACCTCCTTTTAGGTAAGCGTGGACTTTTGTCATCTTTTCTCCTTCTTCCTCTCCTGTAATTTAAGAACAAAGGAATGTCACATATTCTGAACTGAAGCTTATAGAAGGGTAACTGAAGACATTAATTCAAGAACACAGAAAGCAGGTGCTGAAAAAGTTTGGATAAACCAAAGATTTCACTCAATTAATTCCACTTAAAAAAAAATTTCACTTTTGAATACATCTGTGTTCTAAGCAAAATACACACCTCTCACAAACAGATCTTAAGGCTACTACTTCCAAGAGCTGTTGCACTGAAATGTTAGTCACCTTAGGAAAATAACACTGCTATGCCAAAAACATGTCCTGCTGAGAAACGAACGCTATGCACAAAGTTTTTAAACTTCATTGAAGTTACAGCATTAGTTGATGTATTTGCTCTTCCTCTGAGGATTCACATATGCCAATACTTTTTCCCTATATCCTCTCCTCCTGCACTACTCCTCTGGTTCAATTAAATGTAAAACTTCTCAAGTTTTGAAGTCTAGTTGATGAAATGATCAACTGCTTGAGGCGGAAGTACTGGATTTACTACTATAATGGTAGCAGACTTTATTTTGCAAAAAAGCTGTGTGAACCTTTGTATGAAGCTTATTTTATTTTTTTGGACTACCAAGTGGTGCTCAAGATACCTCGCTCCCAGTGATAATTGGTCACCTGGGCTGCAAGTTCAATGCCAGAGGCTGCAGATGCAGTACCTGCGGTACCCAGGATTGCCTGGGTCACCCAGAGATGCTGAGGACCACATGGTGCTGTGAACAACAAGGGCTGGGTTCATGCAAGGCATGTGCTTAACCTACAAATATCTGTCTGGTTCAAGCTCTTACTTTCTAAGAAACTGTGCTATTGAGAGAAAAACACAAGCAACAAAAAACCAGGTGTTGACAATTACTTGCAAGTGACATTTAACCATCTTCCACTCTCCCACCTTTTTTTTGACTCATGGCCCCAAATCTGTTACATGCTTTTAGCAGTAATTTGCTTTACTTTCTTTTCTTCTTCGTTTTTTTTTTCAAACTGAAATCATCGTGAGATACAAAGCTTTCATTTTGAATTTCAGTCAAAAAATGATCAAAAAACCTATTGCTCCACCATGTGCATTTTCCACTACTAATGTCCCCATTATCACTCCCACATCTCCCTCCCCACTTCACCCCCTGCCTCCATGGCAGGCACTTTTCTCCTTACTCTCTCCCTACATTGGGTGTTACAGTTTGCAATATAGATACTGAGAGGCCATCATGTTTGGTCCTTTGTCTACTTTCAGCACAACCCCCATCCCGAACGATCCCTCCAACGATCATTGACTGTTACTGAAATCATTGTGTGAAGGGACTTAGTGGTCCCCTCTATATCCCAACTGCCCTCTTCCCCAGAACACAAGGAAGGATTCCAACCACGGAGCAATCCTTTTGGCCTTGTCTTTACTGTCCTTGGGTGTTAGTCTGATATTATGTTACTTTATATTCCACAAATGCCTACTCACTTTCTAGGAGGTTCCTCGTCCTCCCTAATTTCACTATCTTCTTCCTTCACTTCTACCTCTACTTCCACTTTAATTTCTTTCTTCTCTTTCTCTTCTTTTACTTTCCCTGATTTTCTCCGTGGCTTTGGAGTTTCCCTGAAAACAAAAACATTTCAATAATGGTATCTTTTCAAATAAAATCTTGTCAGCAGGGTATACAATGGGTCTATCATTCCTTCATTGTAAAATTACAATCCTTAGCTCATGAAATGTCATTTACAACCAAGAAATTTTTATATACTAAAAAATTGTGGATCATACTCTGATGCTTATAATGCCCTAGAATCAAATATTATAGTCATAAAAAGAAACATTCAGTCAACTTTTGATAAAACATGTAGACACCATAATTTGGATACAATCAAAATAAACTCCCATAAACAGGAAAGAGGGGCTTGTGGAATGTTAGAATTGTCAAACAAGGATCATTTACATTAAGTCGCTGACAAATCTATTAGTCTGTCAATACTTCAAAATAATGCCTCCCTAACTTTTCATTGACATCTCGAGAACAAAGTGTGAGACATGCCTTTCTAAATGGGGTTTGTAGGTCTCATCCCTTGGATCATCTTTGAATGGTATTTCTTCTTCACTGATTAACATCTCTTCTTCCTCTTCCTCCTCCTCCTCACTACTAAAAAAAAAAAAAAAACACTAGAGTTAAGTATTGTGCCTGATGCATCTTTTCAGTAACTTCTACAGAAGTAGCCCAACATGCACAATGACTTGTTTTTAATTTTTCTCCTATGATCTACCTTAGTAGTTGGGACTGTAATATAGCTGCTTTATCATAACAAATTAAACATACACAAGCCCCAGATGTTACCACTCTAGCAAATAAAGGTAAAGTGGTGATTCTTTATAGTGTTGTTAGAATACTATGTCTAGTAAACTGCTGCTACACCATAAAAAAAAAAACATACACACAAATCATATGACATCACAGAAGATACGACTAAATTTCAACATTCTATTTCTAAAACAGGCTGTTAAGCCCAGCATGGAATATGCCAGAACATGAGAGGTACTGCAGACATGATTTCTATGCTTCATGTCAAAAACCACGGTGGAGTTCTAATTCAAGAGAAAAGTTGAATCTAAACTGAATTTAAATATGAAAACTGAAATTAATTTATTATAGCTTAATCTTTTATATAAAATACAATGGGTTTAAAGATGAAATATGAAAAGTTTCTTACCTAATGCCACCTGGAGACTGATGTTCTTCTGGAACATCTGGAAAAATAAGGCCCAAACAAAAGTTTATCTATGGAGACCAGAATCTTTCTCTGCAGCAAGACTCAAACCAAATTACTATCTGGGGCAATTATACAAAAAGAAAATATCTAAACAGCTCTTAAAAAAAAAAAAAGAACCCTTTCTTATACTCCTCCTAATGAAATTTAGGCGCTTTTGGTAAATGGTCAACATTATAGTAAAAACTCAAGAGTTAAATAACAGATTTTCTACTTGCAATGTACCATAATCAAGCTGATCAGTATTTGGTTCTGACTTGCAGATGAGCTGCAACGAACCAGTCTTGGACCGAGAGCTCCGCGTGTTCTCCGTGTCACGATGCCGTGAGAGAGATGTCCTGCTACTACTGCGCCAGCCTCGACTGGGTCTGGTGGCAGCAATGGAAACTTCCTGAGAGAGGGCAGAATCGTCGTCTTCCTCTTTCTCTTCCTTGGGATCTAGATAAAAAACATATACCACATTTTCTAAGCTTAGAATTAACTACCATCTCTTATCTATTTACTATTGCAAACAGTCAAAAGGATGGCTTTGGGAAGGCTGGGGGGCGCTCTTCCAGGCTATGCTCAGGGTCTCCTCTGGGTGTGGAGCTTAAGGGCTCGGTCCATCAGTGCTGGAGGGCGGTAATGCCCCCTAAAAGCACCACAGGGTTGGAACCCCCCAGCATCCATGGATGAGATTCCAAACAAACACAAAACAAAGTTCATTCATTCTGTCATTACTCTAAAGAATTTTTGGCCTTGTCTACTAAGAAAGGGAACTCCTTACTAATACAGATTCCTTGAAAGTGCAACTTCATGAAAACAGTCAAATAAACTGACTTTGCCACAGTCAGAAAATCAATATACAAATGAGGAGTTAAATTCTTATAGATTACTTCTCTGTTAACAAAATCACCAGAACTCAAAACCCAAGTGTGGAGAGGCCCTGGTTCTCTTCAGTACCACAAATAAATAAAAATATCTGAGTACTTAAATGTCTACCATTTTCACTTAGTACACTACTATGTAAGTGTCCAGCAATTTCACCTAGTACATGAACGTCTAATAATTTCACATAGCTTACCAGTATATCATTTCACCTAGTATACTAATATATTAGCATATAGAAGGATATATATATACTCTAGGAAATAAATGGAACACAGATTCACTGTAACATATTAGAATAGCTAAAATAAGGAGAACAGCTCAAATAAAACCACAAAATGATACATATGTACTATTGTACTTTATCTTTTCCACATAAGTATGCATATACATATTTTAGAACCATATGAAATCATATGTATTATATATCTACAAGATTAATGCAACTAAGATTTTTGCTTAACATATTTTAAATATTTGATAAAGTTTCCTCCTCTGTACAACAGGAGGTGATGGGGATGCTGTAATTATACTATTTCATAGTGTGCGAATATATCAAGGCAATGGAATAAAATTAATTTGAAAAGTAGAGAGGAATGAGGGTGGGAACTAGTAAAAATCAGACATAGTATCAGAAATATTTTCTTTCAATTTTTCTTCCTACTCTTTGGCCCCTCTCACTTCTGAGTTATAAATATTTCAAAATAACATTAGTATCGAAAGATGGTTAGTTGGAAATATCTAAAAGACAATCTAGCCTAAGCATAATCTAGGAGTTTTACCCTTATTAGTAATGTAAAATCAAAGACAAGTTGTTAAAGATCTCAAAGCTATACAGACATCCATCTATTTTTAAAAGTTGTATCTTAAGAGTAATAATCAAGGACATCTACATTTAGGTCAAGGATTCTTTTAAGAGAATTTCTGAGGAGCATTTCAACAGTATCCACAAAATAGTATAATTTTAAATAACAGAACTCAACCCAACTACATTAATTTGGAATTTAAATCTACTTCATAAACTCCTGTACTCAATAAAGTGTCTTTTCTCAATGATGAAAGAACTGCATGCCTGTACCTTTTCAAACCATGGATGTTCAGTTTTGGCAACATTTTATGCAATTTTGGTAATTTTATGATTATTGCTTATCCCCATAAAGCATAAGAACTTATTTACTAAATACGATCCACCATTCTCCAAAAGTTTGGTCCTAAAGACAACATACGTATCAGAAACAAATCACCAAAAATGTCCCTCAACAGAAACATGCGCATACACATACAACCTCTACCACAAACAACTTTAAAATATTCTGCAGGATAAGGTTTCAACAAATAGATAACATTAATATAAAACCAGTAATTGTTAAAAAGAACTGAGAAGAAACAATGCTATATTTAAATTTATGAGAAAAAATTGCCAAGCAAGATTTCTATATCTGGGAAACTATTCTCTAAAAATGAAGGGGAAACTAGTAAGTCAACCCTATATGAATAAAAGCAGAGTTTTTTGTTAGTAGACCTACTGTCAAAAATATTATTGTATTCCAAGGCTTAAATGAAAGGATACTATACAGTAACAAAGTCATCAGGAAATAAAATGCTTGTTACCTACTTTTTTCACTCTGTATGACTAAAAAGGGTAAGATGGTCATTCAAAAAAAATCTGTGTTGATGGGCATACATGGTAGAAAGACAAGCTCTGTTCTTTTCTCTCCCTTTCTTTAAATAATAGTTTATTCCTCAATTTTTCGTTCCTCACATCTTAGTTTATAAAGCAGTTTAAGACACTCTAACCATGACATTTTTCTGGGAAATTTTAGCTAAATACAAGCTCTACTCTTAAAAGTTCTATTTTTCCCCTAACAGAACACAATTCATTCAAGTTTTCTGCCACTTTATAATACAGTATTATCTGTCCTCCTCTGTCCAATAATATGTTCGTAATTTTCTTTTAATGCTTCCCAGATCACCTTTATATTCTCCAAGTCACTATACATTAGTTAAGTCACTTCCACATTTTAGGTACTTTGCTACAGCACCCCACTTCTCAAATCTGTTATTACCTTCTGAGGACTGTCATGAACATTAACCACAAAGTAAAGTAAGTAAAGTAAAGTAAAGGTCCTCCCGTTGATCATCGATTTGCTCGAGCGGGCCCAGTAACGTCTCCATTAGAGACTTTGTTGTTACTGTGTCTGGCATATCGAATACTCTCGGTAGCTTGCCGGGCTCTCCGAGAGGGGCGGAGGAATCGAACTCAGGTCGGCCATGTACGGCGAACGCCCTACCGCTGTGCTATCGCTCCAGCCCTGGGCTGCGTTAATGGGCCCGCTCGAGCAAATCAATTAACCACAAAAGGGACCAGAAAAGAGCACGAGGATTTATAAGGATCTTGCATGCCACTAACACTGGCTTCATTCCCTGGACCACATGGTACCCTGATGTCTTGGTGTCTTTAGTGGGGGGGGGGGGGGGCCCTGAATACTGCTGGGGTGATTCGGGGGTTGCTGAGCAATGCCTTGACAGCAGGGCAATCCACACTGCTGCAGGAAAAACTATTTTGCTGGAGTTTAAAAGAGGCCTTTCCTATGTCTAAATTCCCCCCATCCTCAAAATAGTGGATATTATGTGAGGTACGTGGGGGTAGGGGCCTCCCCACCTGGCAGTTCTGTGAGGACCCCAGAAGGCACTGTGGCTTGGCCCACAGGGATGGGGACTGCCCAAGCAAAAATAAAAATAATGGAGTTTTCTTATGTAGACAAGATTGACTCTTTTATTAATCAATGTCTTTAAATTTCACCCAGTACTTTCTGCACTCTCTGGTGAATTCCTCTAAAGCATTTTGTCACATTTATTCCCAAGTACTTCATTCTTTCTAATGCTACCGTAAATGATTACAGGTAATTCCAAAACTTGTTTTTTATTTTTAACTGACAATATATATAAATACAAATGATTTTCTGTTCCTGTTGGGTGATTTCATGCAGCTTTGTAGTTTTTCACCTTTAGTCTTCTGGGATGTTGCCTTGAACTCACCATGACATTGCAAGATGCCTGGACCAAAAGATTTAAAAAGTAACTATTTTATTTGAAAAAAGCCTTCAAAGGTTACTAGGCCACACTGGCAGGATGGAGGGGCTGCTCCCAGTTTAGTGCCCCGGGGGATCATAAAGCACAAGAGATCAAATTTGCTCCACCTGAAGCAAATTTTGCAAGGACTTCAGTGGCTAAGCTCTCTCTCTAACCCCAAAACTGTGTTTTACATACTAAGATGTCTTAATATAAGCAACAGTTAACTAATACAAGAGTTAAATGAGAATGGGGGGTTGGGGGTAAAGAAATACAGTTTAGAAATTTTCTGGAACAAAGTTGCAATCTGCCAGAAAGAAGCTAGAAGTTGTGAGTTTAACACGATCAAAGGCAATCTGACTTAAAAGGCAGAAGATAGTACCACAGTTAACTCTAAGGGAATTGTACTCAAGTTAAAGATCTTCAATCAGTCTGGCCACTTTTAATTCAAAAGAGTTTGGACTTCAAGGGTCAGGGACTATTACATTAGCGCTAATTCCATTCTGCTAGAGATTCTTGTACACTCAGATTCATTTCACTGTAAGGATGATGTAAGGAGGGGAAGGGATACACCTGGAGGTGCTTAGGGATCACTCCAGGCAGGCTCAAGGGACCACAATGAAATGCCAGGAAGCAAACCTGGGTCAGCAACGTGCCCTATCAGCCCAGCTCCTATCAACTCTTTTTAACAGAAACAAGGATCTTTATATAAAAGAAATTACTGTTACAACTGTATAAACTTGTCAGTTTTTTAAAAATTTCTCCTCCCCTGTACCTCGCAGTTATTACTGCTATCAATCCTGGTACAATGACTGGGGAAGGGGTGTCGGGGGTGTGTGTTTGTGTACACACTGCACACGTGACTGGCTGTAGTACTCCTATACACAGGTGCTTGCCAGGGATTGAACTCCTATTTAGTTAAGGCACAACCTGGCAGGGGACCCTTTCCCAGCAAGGGGACTGTTCCCTTCTATGGTGCTCACCCCCTCACTCTCCCAGGAACGGTGGGGATACGCGCGGAATGTGGCTCATCCTCAGCAACGCCTCCTGTCAGGGTTATCAGGCAACCTCAGGCATCTGAACGCATGACACCTAAGCTTAATTCAACCTCTAACGTGTGCTGCAACCTGAACATGAGGGCCTTTCCAAATTGCACTTATTATTATCGGTAAATGTTTGATCCACACTCCTACTTCATATACATGCCCATGTCATAAAAATGGCTTGGTGATTAAGAAGTCCCAAGTGGAAAAATTTTCTGCTTTAAGCCCCTTGGTATCTTTTGGGCCCCCAGAGATCCTTCTTATAAAAGGTAATGGCAAAAACCAAACTTAAAAGTGATTTCTGAGTAGATCATTCTTTTGTGTCACACTCAGCGATGCTCAAGGGCTACTCCTGGTTCTGCAGTCAGAAAGCATTCCGAGCAATGCTCAGGGGACCATATGGGATGTCAGAAATCAAACCCTGGCTGGCCATGTGCAAGGCAAATGCCCGACCTGCTGTGCTATTGCTCTGGCCCCATGCGTAGATCATTCTCATACTGAGAGAAAATAAAATATATGGCTCCTGTTACCTGAAGATAAAGGACTACAAAGGTAACTGGATAAAAATACCCATACCCATCAAATTTATGATCAGCCGTCTGAGACATGAATATTTTTATAATAAGAGATTCAAGTTTCCAAAACCTAATCAGATTTGCTTCTGATTTGCTACACCCTATAAATTATTCTGTAACTAAGCAGTAAAGAACATTTTTAATTAGCAGACAATCTCAGCAGTTTTAAGAAACCAGAAAAAAGGAGGATTAACCCCCCCCCCCCCCCCCCCCCGATTTAGGCCAATTTCTGAGCATCATTCAATCTGTGAAGGAAACTGCTTTAAGCTACAATTGTTAGCATATCTGGGGATTAAGACCGAAGGCCTTCTTTGGTAGTGGTGTGGTGGGGGAAGCTTCGCTGCCGCCTCATTTCTAGTGGTGCTCAGGGGACCCTAGGGGTGCTGGGAAATCAAACCGTGGTCAGCCTCTCGCGTGGCAAATGCTTTAGGCTCTGTCCCCCAAGCCCCCCTTCCCCAAAATCTTTTTCCAGAAACAAGGAATACTCATTTCTTTCATAGCTCTTTCCCATTAAGATAATTAAGATACATTAAGATACTTAAGATTTTAACCGGGAAACTAAATTATCAAGCAAGAAGCTTCAAAGTCCCCAGGGACACTATCTTTCTTCGTACAGACACTGAGATAACAAAAATCAGAGTTTTTATATTAGAGTAAAAGGAAAAGAAAAAATGGCTGATATATTTAACAAAAAGAGAGAATGGTATAATCAAATGTGTTCCAATGCAGAAAAAATGAAATAACCCGATGAAATGAAACTAATAATTTAAAAACAACAATAAAAAGCAAGTTCTCCCCTCTCCTCTTTACATACTGATGCTATGTTGCATAATATTTACTTTAGGTATGCACTGTGCCTTCACAGTAAAACTATCCTGTTTGTCTCATTTGTTCACCCCTCTCTCTTCCCTGTTCCCTTCTGGAGGCCATTAACTGGGCTTATAGTGTCAAAATTTTAAATTTAGCTCACCTGTTTATCTTATATGCCACATAAGTGAAATCATATGGCTTTTCTTCCGTGCACAGTTATTTGTACAACTATGTCAAAGGTTCTACATCTGAAGTAAAAAATGCAATTTCAAATTGCTTGGAGTACAGAAAACAATTCTGAACACTATCCTTTCAATATTAATATCAGAGATAGCCAAATGTTTAGAAAATAACAAAGTCGGTTCAAAGTTTTGAAGGAAAAAAAATCAAACTTGATTGAGTACAAAATCTAGCATTGCAAACTAACAGAATAATTTTCCAAGAAGTTAACTGACAAGGAAAAGGAATAGTAAATTTTAAACAGCACAGGACAAAGTGACTATTATAGCCATCCTGTCTTTATGCTTCTCTATGTGTATTTTATTCAGAATTGAAGCAACTTTTAAAGGCATACTAATAAAGAGACAAAAATGGCAACTGGAGATAATCTTTTTTTCCTTGAAATTGGAAACTTACCAGTTACCTTTTATTGACTGTTACTGGATTCTAGATACTAAAGCACTCTGCAGTAAAAGGCAGAACTTGAATTCAATTCCTGAGCTCTGATTCTAGGTCCAGACATAGCAAGAGCGGATTAGAGAGATTCATTTTGTGATTGAATCACCTCCAATGCATTTTAAACTTTCACTTCAAAACATGTCCTAAATACAGGCCAATTCTGGTCACAGATAGCTACACAGTGAATTATCTTCAACAATCCACTATATTCTCAAAGTTCTTCTCCAGGCAATCAAAATAATATTACCCATGAGGTAATTTTAACTCTGATAAAGGCAGCGTGGGGGTTCTGGCTTTTGTTTTACTGAGAATTGCTTTGGTATTTGATTGCCAGCTGTCTCTACATTTTCTCCACATCATAAAATTTCTGAAATGAGCTCTGAAGGAACACAAGAACTTGGCAGACAAAGCCCTATTTTCTAAGCAATAGCAATAACAAAATCTCAAACTTGTTATACCAAAGTCACAAAAACTCTCCTCCTTCACAAAATTTCTGCCTGGTACACAATGAAATGTAAAGAAAAAAAAAGAAATTGGGGTTGGAGATAGAGCAATTCAAGTAGGGGTTCAATCCCTGGCACCCACATGGCCTCCTGAGCACCTCTAGGAGTAAGCCCTGCTCATCGCAGGCTGTGGCTCCCCCCAAAAAGGGGAAAAATCTGAGCACTGACCTATAACTATTTTCAAATCAACTTACTGGTTCCTTATCAAACTTCAATCTTCTAAACAGCACAAATTTATGCTTTAAACTTTCCCTATTCCTTACGGAGGTAAAAAACCTATTTGGTGCAATTCTGAGTAGGATGTTATATAATGAATTTGGCATCAAGGAACTGGCCCAACGTAAGGGCAATTTTAATAAATAACCTGCAAAGTCAGAATTGCATTTAAGAAGTGTTTTCTCTTTTTAAGAAAAGAAAGCAGGCATTAACTTTTCATTCTATCCTGATGGCAGAATACTACATTTAATACGTATATATACATTATCTGACTTTCTGAAACTCTTCAAAGGAAGAGTCTAATAATACCCAATTATTTAGTGACTAAAATCTAATACCTCTCTTTCTGAATTTCACACACATTTATGAGTGTCTACCATTGAAAAAGATTTTGTCTTTATTTTACTCTATATTTGTGTATCAGCTACTTAAAAATTAAAAACTTAATATAGATAACCTGATCTTCCAATATTGCACTTCTAAATAGTGTCAAAATGTTCCTATTATCTAAATCAGACTCCACCTACTACACTACTACTCTAAGTTAAATCACTTTTAAACAGGAACAATGTGATTATCAAGCTGATTATCAGATTATCCAATTATCAGTTTATCAGGTTGAAACTCATTCTACTTTCTAGCAGATATAATCAATGTAAAAAAAGAGAAGAGTGACCAAGTCTTACCTTTATCAGTTACTTTTTCCACACACCTGAAAGAAATGAGAATCAAATATTTAATAAACAATCTTACAACTTTTCTACAACACAAAAATGTATCTCAGGCTCTTCAGAGCCATGCAAAAAACATCCTGGGCAGTACCATCTGAAAGAGCTTTCTCCAGAAGCAAATAATCTGTATCTGCACTGTTCTATGGTAGCCCCATAGACTAAGGACCTGAATACAAGTTATAATTGGGTTGAACTTCTATATTAATACAAATTTAGATACCACATGTAGCTATTATTTGCGAGGGCACACAGCTAGAATAAAATTCAAAAAATTGTTTTGAATGCTAATAAGGTTAGGTAAGAAAAAAAAAAGTCCCATTTGCAAGTCATAACGGAAATGTTCTCTCAAGGGCCCAAAAGTACAATGCGGAAAAGACATTTGCACTCTTTTAGTGTTCACTGCAGCACTATTCACAATCTTAACTGCCTAAGAACAGATGACTCAATAAAGAAACTGGTCCACAGACACAATGGAACACTACTCGGCTGTAAGAAAAGATGAAGGAGTCATGCAATGTGCTGCTTCATGGATGCATCTGGACAGTAGCTGCTAAAACCAGAGAGGGACAGACACAAAATGATCTCTCACACTTGGTACATAAAGGAACTTTGCAAGGGAGTAACAAATGCCCAAAAGCAATAGAAACAAAAAGCATGAGAACGGGTTTCCAGTGGGAAGACAGCCACTGAAGGTGGGGAGTGGGAAAAGGCCAGGGAAGTGGTCCCTCTGGAGGAAAAGGGAAGCTGAAAGGAGATATCAAGTGCTAGAATCAGGCTGCAGATTGGTGAATGGACTTGTGCTGCAACTTTGTACACCTGAAATTCAACCATGAATAACTTTGTAGCTTTGAAATTCACAGTGATTCAATTAAAAGAGAGAAAAAAAGAAAGAATAAAATGCCCTTGATTTACAAACAAATGCATTAACTATGGGTGAAATGGCCAATGTTTGAGATTTCTTCTAAAATACATTTGGCAAAAGAGTAAGGGATAGTTAGCATGGCAAAAATCTCAATAGCTAAGTCTAGGTGATAAACAAGGAGGTTTCATTACTCCAAACACAACATGTCTTATCGATCTTTACCATAAAGATATTTTCCAGAGTATTCTAACCAGTAGAAAAATCTAAAAAGTGAAACTAATATATATAAAGAATCTTGTTACCAAAAAATACCCCCCAACAAAAAGCTATTTGCATAACACAAAATCTATTCTTTTTAAAAAGAATTGCTATCATCTCCCATTACATTTATAGAAACAAGCATGGTATTATCACTTCAATTCAAATTTTATTATCAATAGCAAAGAATAAAAACAATTGCTAATTTTTAAAACCCTGTAAACTTCTGGACCGGTCAGATGTTTCTATTAACATACTGAAAGAAAACTCTTTGACTCTTACACTACTGGTCATCTTAGTAGTATTAAAAAAATTTTTTTTCAGTTGAGGATATTACTGTTCTTCAATCTTACTATTCACCCTCACCTTTTCTAAGGAAATAGCCGCAAAGTACCAGTCCCATAGGTTTTGTATCATTTTACATTTAGGGCTGGAGCGATAGCACAGCGGTAGGGCGTTCGCCTTACAAGCGGCCAATATGGCCGACCCAACTTCGATTCCTCCGCCCCTCTCGGAGAGCCCGGCAAGCTACCGAGAGTATTCGATATGCCAGACACAGTAACAACAAAGTCTCCAATGGAGACGTTACTGGGCCCGCTCGAGCAAATCGACAATCAACGGGAGGGCCTTTACCTTTACCTTTAGCAAGTCAACAAACCAAAAAGTGAATTCTACACATCAGAAAATAGAATATATGGTCTATCCTTCTTTCTGATTAGCCTCCAAATTTTAAATTTTAAAGGTTCTTTAAAACCTTTAAAGAGGCGCCCCTGGGCCAGGGAAATGGCTCAAAGAGCTGGAAAGCAACTTTGCATGTAGGGGCGCAGGGCGTGATCTTGGCACTCCCGCTCCAGTCCCTGCAGGAGCGCCTCCAGAAGCAACCCTGGAACCCAGGAGGGGTGAGTCATCGAATCATCCTTGGATGCAGCACTCCCTTTAAAAAATAAAATAAGGTTGTTTTCCCACCAAACTTTTAGTAAGCAACAGAAAGCTCACTATCCAATTTTTATGTGTATAAATTTACTTAGAAAGCACATGAAGGGAGAGAAAGAGGAAACACATATTCAGGAAGGTGTGGGCTTCTCTTGAGTGGAAAAAAAAGCAAGCAAGCAAAGATAACACAATGACAAGCAAGCAGGATACAGGTTCAGCGAAGAACAAGGACTTGAAGAGCAAGCCTCAATCCAGTTTTTATCTCTCTGAATTAGTTTGCTTCCTAATTGGAAAGAGTTCTCAATCTAAATCTATTTATTGACCTTTTAAGCTATTGCAAACTCGGCTGTTTCATTAAACACAAGAAACAAATATAGGTTAAACTACTGCTTATTGATAATGATAACAGAAAGATGATGGAACCTGGAAAAGAGACCTGAATACTGAGCATTTTATACTGAGATTGAATCTCTTTTCAAAACCGTTAAAATGTTTTCTAGTAAACAGCTGAATCAAGGTCAGAAGGCAAGACCAAGATTCAATAAACTGATACTCAAAAGCATCTTAAATTTAAAAGGATTAATCAATCTCATTTCCTACTTTAGTTTGAAAATGTTTCCTCTCATTCTGAAAATCTGCAACCATATATAAACTCCCACGAATCAATGTATCACCTGCTTATACCAAAATGTTCTTGAAAACAACTGTCTCATTTATCTTCATAAAATCTAGTTCAGCACAGTTTCCAACAAAGATCAACAGAACAGAAATGCTGTAGGACTAGGGACTGCATTAAATTGCAAGTGTCTGACTAAAACACTCTTAGGATGAAAATTTATTTTAATGATCCTTTCTTTTTTTCTTCAGTTGGACCACATCCACTGGGGCTCGGGACTTACTCCTGGCTCTTCCTTCAGGAATCACTCTTAATTGTGCTTGGGGCAGAACCCAGGCAGGACACATGTAATGGAAGTGTCTTAACCACCCAACAATTTCCCCAGTCCTTTAATGATCCTTTCAAAACTGTAATTTTAAATAATCAGATAGTCCTAAGATTAAGAGAAAAGATATTATTTTTATGATAACGGAGAAAGGGACAATAAGAATGAAGACTATTCCTTCCCCAGAGAAACATTATAGAGAAAAAAAAAACCCTAAAAACTAGAAACTATCATTCATACTGTCGAAATATATTCATTAATATTTGGTCCACAGTTTTAAGGGGAAAAGCATGCACTAGGTAAAACTACCACAATTCTTGTAAGTAAAGCTAGTTAAAATAGTGGGAAGGAAATACCACAAGGACATGAAGGGATACTGAATACTGGATTCTCAAATTGGTAGGTAAAAATGGAAGGGAAGGTTTGAAAGTATAGTTACTAATCATTTAATGCATGGGGGGGGAAGGGAAAATCTGGAGGGGTGTAGTTAAAAGGGCAGAGAGCAGCACAAATGATAGAATAACAGTTAAGGCACCTGAGCTCTGCAGGGAAGCTGGGTGTGGCCCCCAAACCAAAAACAAAGCAAAAAAAAGGCTGAGAGCATGCTTTGCATGCAGTAGCCTTGCCATGTCATGGTCCCCTGAGCACAGCCGTGGGTGACTTCCATAGCACTGAGCCAGGAGTAGCTCCTTAACCAAAAAGAAAAAATCATGCAGCATTTATATGAAAATGTCACTGTATACTATTTATACAGCAACTATCCCACGTTGCAACAAATGAACTTTCAACAGAATTTTACCAGACTTTAGGTTTCATGCTTCACACAGCAGTATTTTCCAAGCTCATCTCAAAGGTGTCAACTAACGTATCTACTATATATATATATCAGGTACGTATATTGTAGATAATATGAAGGTACATTTTAAGAAATGTACCCTATGAGTTTATATCCACACGTGATCAGTATCTTTTTGAGTACGTAAAGGAGCCTTAAATTTAAATTTACGGAAATTAGAATCCTGATTGCAGCTGAGTAAAACGTGGAAGTAGCATTTTGTGTACACCAATCCTTCGTTCATTCAACGGATTCTCCGAATTACGTTAATACTTAAAAAAAAAAAAAAGGAATCACACCTAATGAGAAACCTTTGGATTTTCGTCCCCTCTCTGAGAGGCTTGTTAAATCACGCATGCCAAGCCGCAGATTAAACTCAACCTGGAAAAGGCACGCTGAAGTTTGCAGGCTTGTGGATGTGGCGAAACCCATCCTTGCTAGCCTACCTAGGCCGCACCCCGCACAGGGATTCACCCACAGGGATTTACGCCGTTGAGGCTATTCGGCTATTCTTTTCCACTTGAACTTTTCAAGGAAACAAACGATGTTCTAGAGGAGCAACAAAAATGGGAACGCGCGGCGTTTACAAACAAGTGTGCTCAGCCCTTTGCACAGTTTCTGCTCCTGCCTGGGGCTGGCCCTGGGCCGCTAGAAGGCCCAGGATGCTCTTCCCACTGTGCTATCACTCCGAGATCTCCGTTGCTGGTGCCCTCCCCCGTTACAAAGTCCTCCCCGATCAGCCTAGCTTTAGGAATGAAGTTCCTGCAAGAACGCCCCCGCCAAATCCACGCAAACCCCAAAAGCTACGTGGCAGCAGCAGCAGCAAATCAAACACGTCCTCTCCTCGTTCAGTGGCCTGAGCAAGCTCTCCCCACGCGCCTTCCTCCTCCTCCTAAGGAACCCCCCGTTTCTACAAACGAGTGGGAAAGTGATGCGAAAAGTTTTGCAGGACCGGAAGAAAAGAGGGAAGGGGGGTGGGGGGAGAGAGAGGAAGGACCCACCTCCACCCTCCCTCCCCGCCCGCTTCCCGGGACCCCCCTTCCCTCCCCCCCACCTAGCAAAAAAAAAGCCCCGAGCCGCAGACTGCCTGGGCTGCGCGGCGAATGAATGGCGGGCGCGCGGGTGTCCTCGGTGGCCTTCCTAGCGGGGCATGATGTCATGTTAGCGGGGAGCGGCGGACAAAGGGCGCGCGGGGGGCCGGGACGCAGGTAAGGCAGCGGGCCGCGGGGGGAGGGGGACCGCGGAGGGTCACTCGGGAGCCGTGCGGCGGGAGGGGGTGTCGTTCACAAAAATCGAAAAATTTAAAAAAGAAAAAAAAAAAGGGAACGCGGGGAGGCCGCACCGCGGAGGAGGAGGAGGGGCGGGGAAGGAGCGCGCGGGCGGGCCGCGGCGACGGGGCAGCGAGCGGCGGCGCAGCCCGGTGACATCTGGCGTTGCGGGCCGGCAGGGGGCAGGGCGGGCGGCGCGTCACGTGGAGCGGGCGCTACGGGAGCCGAGAAGCCTTGCGTGCGGACCGACACGGGGTGGGAGGAGGGGGGGTGCGCTCCCCCCCAACCGCCGGGAACCCCGCGTTACTCACAGGAGTCGCGGACTCTTCTTGCCCTGAGCTGGAGACGGGGGCTTCGTGGCGTGGGGCTGCGGCCCGGGGCCGTCGGGCAGCCTGGCGCTGGGGCTGCTCCTCCGCCGGCGGGGATACTCGGCCTTCCGACGGCGGGATACAGCAGCAGCGGCAGCAGCAGCAGCAGCAGCCGCGGCCGCCGCCGCCGCCGCAGCGGCCCGGCCCCGCTCCCGACCTCCCCTCAGCACGCGGCTGCTAGTGGTCCCCGCAGGTGCCGCCGCCGCCGCCGCCGCCGCGGAGGGCTGATGTGGAGGCTCCTCCGGAGTCGCCTTGGCCGCCGCCGCCGCCTCTCCCCCTTCCTGGTCCTGCTGCTCCGGGGGTCTCGGCTCTTCCGTCTCCCCCGGCATCGGGGCTCCTCCGTCCCCCACCCCCGTGTCCCAGGCGGCGGAGGCGGAGGCGGCGGCGGCCGCGGCGCTGCTCCCCCCCGCCCCCTGCACCTCCCGGAGCGTCCGGCTCACTCTTCCCTCAGCGCTCCTCTTCCCCCCCCCCCCGCCCCTCCGCCCGGCTCCCGGAGCCACCCCCCCCGCCCCCTGCCAATCAAGGCCGCGGCCGCTGGCGGCGCGCGCGCGGCCGCCACGGACACCCGGCGGGCCAATGGCAGAGGCGGGACGGCCCCTTTGCCCCGCCCCTCAAGGCGCCTCACGCAGCGACGTAGCTGGTTCCCGCCTCCACCCCTTCCTCCGGCCAATCGGGAAACAGCTCCAAGGGAGCGCGCGAGGTTTCCTTCCCCGCGCACCCGTTCTCACCGTTAAACGGCTGCGTCTCGCGACAATCCCAAAGTGACCTTTTTTTTTTCCCACCCTCCGGAGCTCAAACGCGCGCTCGGGGCTGTGGGGAGGACAGGTCTCGCGAGGAGGTCGGCGGGAGGAAAACGCACCTCTTTCCCCGCCTCGCGCGCGCCCAGAACTGGATGCGCGCGCACCTGCCTCCCTGAGGAGCCGCTAATGCCACAAGGGCGCTTATTTAGCCTTCCTTAAGCCGCGGAAGTAGCCTCGGCGTTCTTCTCCCGCCCCGAGCCCACTTTCCTGTCTGTGATCTTTCTGTCCCCAAGCGTCTCCAGGTCTTGCGGGGAGAAGGGGGAAATTTTTTGAGCTGTCGCTTCTCCTTTAAGAAAAAAAACGCCGTCGGCTGCCGGATGAAAGTCTCCGAAAAAATGGCGGCGGCAGAACAGAGGCGGGGTCGTGAGGGCAGAGAGGGCCCGCCCCCTGGCGCATGCGCCTGGGCGGCTTGTCCCAAGGCATCCTGGGAAATGAAGTTGTACTTGGGCTTTCGCGTCAGCAGGCCCGTCGTCGCGGGTGATGGGAATTAGGGAGGGTGCAGATGCATGATGGGAAAGGTAGTCCCCCTCCTTCCGCAGTCCGAGTTTACGCGGCGAGGTCATCAGTGTTTCCGGGTTAGGGCACCACGCCTGCGCAGTTGCGCAACTGACGGTTCATCTTCTGAGTGGTCAGGATTGTCCGGGACGTTCTCCCTGATTCTCTGCGGGATGTTGCGAAGCATTTTTTTTTTTAATCTTTCAAAAATGAAACTCACGTAATAGTCTTGATAAGACTCTACGACACCTGACCTTGGACCGGCTAGCAAATGTCTTCATTTTTTTCCTTCTCTTCATCCTGTCTGACCTGTGAGCTGGTGGAGGACAGGCACTGACTTAATCGGTTCCTTCCAGTCCTTGGAGGGCTGAGCACAGTCCCCGACTCCTCGCGTGGTTCTTAATAAAAATCTGCGGGACGTCTGGTAGAGGTGTTTTTGTGCGGACGCTGAAAGCCGGCGTGGGCTGTTTTCCTTGGCCCGGGGCCCTGGCCAGGCGGGACCGGTGATGGGTTGTTAGCGTGACTCCGTGACCTACTCAATCTGAAAGCCTCCCCGTTTTTCCCCGCCCCGAAGCCACCTGCTTCTGCGGTTTTAAAATGTTCCTGCGTGGCCGGAAGCGTGGTCGGAATAGCGGCTTCGGCAGAAGCTACTCTGATCCATTACCGTGCACTGCTAAACTCTTTTCAAGAGCCCAGCGAGGGTTGCCCTTTGCTCCTCTCCAAGTTGGATGGGGTGATGGCCTTGGGCCGCTTGCATTCCGACCTTTTTCCCCACTTTATGTTTTTTGGGGGGCCACACCCGGTGATGCTCAAGTCTTACCCCAGGTTCCGTGCTCAGGGATCACTCCTGGTGGGGCTTGGGGGCTATGTGGGGTGCTGAGGATAAAATCCGGATTGGCCACTGCACAGAGCAAGAGACCTACCCGCTGCAAGATTGCGCTGCGCCCTCACCCCCTGCCAAACAAAGCCCCCTTTTAACCTTTCATTCATTTAGAGTTCAGGAGCTGTTTGCAAGAATGAATCTTCACCCTGGAAAAGAAAGTATCCGAGATTAAAAGCCCCAGAAGCGGGCGCATAGAAACCAGATCTGGGGGTGCAATTCTTAAATTCACATTAATCATTCAGTGAAACTGCAGATGGAGTCCAATATTTGTAAGCTAAGTGCTGAAGTGCGTTTTTTCTTGCAGCATTTTGGCTCACCGTTCAGACTTAGGAAAATGTTCTGTTTTCTCTGTTGAGTGTTTTTGCATTTTTACTGAGCTTAATGGCGGGGGGAGGGAGGTGGGGTGAGAGAGCGATAGTTCAGTAGGTAGGGCGTTTCTGCTGACGTAGGTTCGACTCCCCCATGTACCTCTAGGAGTGATGCCTGAGTGCAGAGCCTTGTGTGACCCAAACGGCAAAAAACCCCAAATAACCCTAATAACCCCCAACCAAACAAACAAAAACAACAACAAAAAAAAAACGTGGCAGCTTCACACTGGGAATTTTTCGTATGTGTTTACTGTGAACAAGCTTTTGGAACAGTACTGACATCCAATGGTTGCTCAGAGAAACGCAGAGACGGAATCTCCTGTCCGTTAAAATTAATTTTGGAGATAATGGTGAATGATTTTTTTTAGATCAACCTTGGCAAAAGAGAAAGGCCTCCATGCTGAAAGCAAAAGGACATAGGCTTTTGAAGTTAAATCAGGATTATTTTTAAGCAGTGGCAAAGCAATTTACTACCATTGCCTTTATTTTACTTTATTTTGTTACTTGATTAATATCCTTCAAATTTAGATTAGAGAAATACCAAAATCTGTAACAATAAACTGAAAAACATCATGATTTAAATAAAGGGGCTGGAGCGATAGCACAGCAGGTAGGGCATTTGCCAGCAACCCATATGGTCCCCTGAGCACCACCAGGGGTAATTCCTGAGTGCAGAGTCAGGAGTAACCCCTGTGCATCGCCAGGTGTGACCCAAAAAGCAAAAAAAAAAAAAAAAACCCAGAAAATTGGTCATTCATAGACTCGCTTTTATGAGTACCAGATTAGGACACTGGAGTATGCATAGGTTATGGAATAGAGGCTAGAGAGTCCTCAAATACCATTGCCTTTAGCAAGTAACTTTTTCACCCTTGGTATAAAAAATTTTATCTATATCACAGGGGCATCATTACAGTCCTTTACAAAATGCTTTCTCAGAGTAGGACTTTTTTTGAATGTTTTGTTTAAGGCCAATAAAATCAGAGCAGAAAAAAGAAAGGTAAAAGTGAACTGCAGAGAAAGTGCTCTAAAGCAACTGTGAGCAGTTTCTGCATATTTGCGACATCTGCAGCTAAACATCTGGTGACTTAAATCTTCCAGTTAAATTCTTGGTAACCTCATTTTGGGCCACTGAAATAAACCAGGCCCAGGAAATCCAAGTGAATAAGCCTCTGCTTTATGTTCTTTACGGATTTGCAGTTTATCCAAGAAAGCAGTTAAGCATGATTTCTGGATAATTTAAGTAAATAAAGACAGCAAGGTGAATTGGTGTGGTTAACTTTGATGGAAGTTTTATAATGGAGGTCGCATCCATGCTTCTTAAAATGGATGCAGTCAGGAAATTCTCAAGGGGAAAAACACAAATGTGCATGCTTCTGCCATGAATTCAAGATGAATCCTGGCTCTGATAGGAGCTCAAATTTAATTTTGCTTCACCCCAGCGCCCTACTGCACAGTCAAACTCAAATTCTGTTTCTTTTTTTTAAAAAAAAAAATCTGACAAACGCCTCACCAAATCAAGAGAGGAAGTGCTAAGCAGATACAGGAACCAAATAGGGTCACAGAAGCAGCTTTACTCTGTCTAGTGCAGTTCCTTTTTGGTCCTCAACTTCAGCACATGCCAAAGCAGTTCTTACCCACCTGTGGGACCAGAGCATCTTGGACTTGTGACAATGGAAGAGTTGGGTGAGTGAAGAACTTCTGGGTAGAATAAATGAAAGGGAAAGATGGTTTAACTGCTCTTTTTGTGTGTGGAGGGATGCACTTCTAAACAAATGGAGGGTAGTGCTGGAAGATTTTAATTTTCACTTCTCTCCTGTACTCAGCCCAGCCAAGAATGAAGATGAGGAACTATGATTGTTCTGGGGAACGATGAGTTCACTGCTTTCAGTAGCACAATAGGCAGCAGTTGGTGTTAACTACCAAGTTAACTCTGCCCAAATATGTTTTTGAACTTAATTGTGGTTGAAATTCTTCCTTGGTGAACATTTTGCTCTTTGGAGGTTTCTGAAATCGCAAGATAATCACACAGTTGGTAACTGCAGAAATGAATTGTGGAAGAAAAAAAGTAATGAAGGGTATCTTGTATAACTCAAAAAAGTATAAATGAGGAATCCACAAAGATTGGAAAGACTCCAATCTTTTATTTGGTTTTATTTGCTCCATAATTTAGTGTTAAAAAGACAGCACTACAGCTCCAGTGACTTTATTGCTAAACTTTTTATTCAGAGGAATTATGAATAAATGATTTACTGTGGCCTGGAAATATGATTTATCCTTTTACTCCAAAACATTAAACCAGTCAACTGTTGGCCACACTCTTAAGAAGATCCCTGTGGGGGTGGGAGAGATGCTGGGAGCATTGGAGGTGGGGAATGGGCACGGGTGGAGGGATGGGTACTCAATCATTGTATAACTGAAACCCAAGCACAAAAATTTATAAATCTACAACTGTACCTCATGGGGTTTCACTAATAAAAATTAAAAAAAAAAGAAGATCCCTAACTTAAAAACTTAGGAGCTAGTATAAGCTTCTGGCATTCATTCCATATCCTTTGCCATTTTTTCCCCAGGCATCCTTAGTAACATTGTGTTTTTAACATTTATCCAACGTTCAATCTGTGTTAAATCCATCAGTAGTGTCCTAGAGTTTTGTATGATGGCGCCCGTCAAAGCTGCAAACAACAAAAAGTCTCTTGCGTGTTATCTTCAAGAAAAAAAAAATTTAGTATGATTTGAGAGTTGGAGGGTGGAAAAGGAAGAAAAGTAAATTATATTAAGGAAGAGATATTAATGTACAGAAAGAGGTGGTAAATATTGGACTGTTCTGGAGCTAAGATCTATTTGGATACTTACAGTATAATACACTTTGAACTTGGGATACAGACCAAATCCTCAGCATTTTGCAGGTTAGTGAAATTCCCATTTCTCCCTGAACTCAACTGGAGTTCAGCTCTACTTTTTCATTTTAGGGACTCTTAATGACTTTCATGCAGGGAATTTGAAAAGGATCTGAGACTTAGTGACTTAAGCCAAAACTACATATTTTTATATATGCTCATTTTTTTTTATATCTGAAGCAACTCTCTGAAATAAGAATAGTCCATTTTTCTACCCCCAAAATGAGAATACTAAGAAAAAAATAACTTGTTTTTAGGTCACCATCAAAAGCACCAAAAATAAAACTTATAAAACAGGAAGTATGTTGACTCATGTGTTCCAGCCAATAGGATCACCAAATAATTTTTACAACGTAGTGAAATAAGGGGTATACAAAGTTTTGCATTTGCTAACCAGCACGAGCGTTAGAGAAATATTGACCAGAATTTTGGAAAGTACTGAGTAACCCAAAGTTACATTTATTATTCAGGTGGCTAACCTCAAGAGCTGTTTCCAGCGATGCTTCAGTTGCATCTTCAAATTGTCTGTTACCCAACAACTACGCTAAAGAGTTAGAGTGGATTTTTTTCCCCCCATTGTGAAGAAAATAACATGGTGGGGTAGGTCAGCCCAGGTGGACTAAAATTTTCTCTGCTTTACTACCTCCGAAGTTGGTAGTTTATATCCACTTAAAAAATTTTAAGGGGCTGGAGAAGTAGTTCACCAGGCTGAGTGCATGCTTTGCATCTCGGAATTCTAGATACAAGCCTCACCACTGCATGGTTCCCCAAGGAACCTCCAAAGTCCTCCAAGTTCCCAAAGTCACTCTGGCCCCAAAACAAAGACATGAAATCTAAAAAAAATTACACAGGGATGTTAGATATATTTTTTTTTAATTTTTGGGTCACAACCAGCGATGCTCAGGGATTACTCCTGGCTCTGCACTCAGGAATTACTCTTGGTGGTACATGGGGGACCATATTGGGGATTGAACCTGGGTCAGCCGCGTGCAAGGCAAACACCCTACCCTCTGTACTATAGCTCCAGCCCCAGGAATGTTAGATTAAGGGGAATCAGAAACAGACTCTGGCTTTATGTAATATCCTCACAATTGAGGCAGAACAACCACCTCTCACCCTACATCCATTACAGCAAGAGGCTTCACTTGATTTATCATATGTTAGTGTTACTGTTTAGGTTTTTTTTTTTTTTCAGATTAAGGGCAGGCAACAGAGGTAGACTATTGAGTTTTCAGCCTAATACCTCCCAACTCCTGCAAGTAGCATCTATCTTCCTGAAATTAGTCATTTTACAAATTACAGAATCTGGCAATAGGCAAGAAAGTCTTGGGGGTTTTGGTGATGTCTGCACTCATAGGAAACAGGAAGAGGAAGGTCTGTTAACTCATGACCCAGAAAAGAAAGTTTTAGTGACTTTGCTTAGCTGTTTTCTTTAAGGAAAATTCCTCGTACTTGTAGTATGATTCATCTTCTACTCTGAATTTAAAATCTGAACACCAGAAGATCCAAAGCTTCTGGTTGCAGAAAGAAAATAGAAGAGAGAAAAAGATCTATCATGTATGTATACAGAATAAAAGTTGGAGACTCTAATAAATTTCTGAAAAAGAGTTTTAATTCCTCTTTCTACCTTAGTTTTGTTTTTCTGTCCTTTAAAAAAGAATCTCTTTCAAGGCTGGAGAGATAGTACAGCAAGTAAGGTGCTTGTCTTGTACATAGTCTACCCGGGTTCGATCCCCAGAACCACATATGGTACCCTGAGCCCTGCCAGGAGTGATCTCTGAGCACAGAACCTAAGCACAGTAGCGTGTTACCCAAAACAACAGAACAAAGACAAAAATATATTTTTTCTAGAAAATTAAAAAAGATATAAAATTTAACTAAATATTAACATAATAAAAAGTTAATATAAGACAGCGCAGAGTGTCCTGCCTTTGTTCCTGGCTGTCCTCACCGGGGCCCCTTGGAAGAGGGTGGGTTGAGTTTCCCTCCCCACCCTGAGCAGAGCCCCGGCAGCTGAAGACCTCCGGTTCCAGCCACAGCCATGCTTAAGGCCACTCTCCACACGTTTGGACGAGCCTCATGCATGAAGGAACAAGCCGAAGAACCCAGGTGTGCGGGACCCGGGGCGTAGATCTCCAAGCCTGCTTGGATTGGGACTGGGGCCTCCTCCACCCAGATCCCCCACCTTCCAGTATGTAGGCATTACACCCACCAACTGCCCCGGCACCATGTAATCCCATCAACAGCCAAGACCCAGAGACTATAAAACCCTGCTCCCAGAAGCGACATCTTGTCATCTAGTTCTTACTCTGGAGAACTTGGCAGGCTACCAAAAGTATCCTGCCCACACGGCAGAGTCTGGCAAACTCCCCGTGGCGTATTCAATAGGCCCAAAACCAGTAACAATGATGGGTCTCATTCTCCTAACCCTGAAAGAGCCTCGAATGTGACACTTTTTAAAATCTCAGGGCTAGGATGAAGGAGACGTCACTGGGGCCTGCTCGAAGCAATCGATGAACAACAGGAAGACAGTGACAGTGACAGTGATAAGACAGTTAATGAAATCAGATGAACCCACCTATAACCAACCCACTTTAAATAATGAACCTTAATAATGAACCTCCTTCAGTAATCACCAGCTCTTCACCAATATTATCTATTGCTCCAACTATTCCATTTCTGGGCTATTTTTAAACAGTTTTAGTATTTTATCTATAAATATTTCAACATCACTTACAAGTATATATAAAAATAATTATAGCATTATCCTACCCACAATATATTTAATAATGCTATTCTCACATAAAATACTTTTGAGAGATGGTTGGGAGTATTCTAAAGATTTTTTTGTGGGACAATGATTTGATATTTTTTTTTTATGACAGTGATTTGAAATACCCCTGCTTCTGTTTCCCCTCCCTCCTTGTTTTTTTTTTTTTATTGTTGTTGTTGTTTGTTTGTTTGGGGGCTATACCCTGTGGTGCTCAGGGGTTACTCCCAGCTCCACACTCTGGAATTACTGGCGATGCTCAGGAAATCCCATGGTGTGATGGGGGTCGAAGCTGGATTGAATGCATGCAAGGCAAGTGCCCTCTCTGCTGTATCCCTGTTTCATCCCAGCCTCATCCCTGTTTCTGAAGAAGAAAATCCTTTTGTTCTTGATGACCTGCACAGTTTGTTTTCCTCATCTGAGACCTTTAGTAAAGTAAAGTAAAGTAAAGGCCCTCCCGTTGATCGTCGATTTGCTCGAGCGGGCCCAGTAACGTCTCCATTGGAGACTTTGTTGTTACTGTGTCTGGCATATCGAATACTCTCAGTAGCTTGCCGGCCTCTCCGAGAGGGGCGGAGGAATCGAACTCGGGTCGGCCATGTTGGCCGCGTGTAAGGTGAACGCCCTACCCGCTGTGCTATCGCTCCAGCCCTTTAGAGACCTTTAGAGACCTTTAGAGCTAAGATAATCCTTAGAAACAACATTTTTTTATGTTAAAACGTTATTTTTATATTATTATTATGATGTTGTTGTTGTTGTTGCTGTTGTTTTGGGACCACAGCTAGCTTTGCTCAAAGCTTAGTCCTGACTCTGAACTCAGGGATCACTCCTGGCATCATATAGGGTGCCTGGGATTTAACCAGCTTGGCTGTGTGCAAAGCCTTATCTGCTCTACCACCTGTCCTGCTCCATCACCCAGTGTTCTTAAATGTTTAAAAATTGCCTTTGATAAGGCAGAACTGCAGACCAGTGGAACAGGGTTGAATACACTGACATCTCTCCTCAATCATATGCTCATCTAATCTTTGATAAAGGTGCAAGTAATGTGAAGTGGAGTAAGGAAAGCCTCTTTAATAAATTGTGTTGGCATCACTGGACGGCTACATGCAAAAAAATAGGCTCAGAACTCTGCCTAACACCATGTACAAAAGTAAGATCAAAATGGATTAAAGACCTCAACATCAGACCAGAAACCATAAGGTACATTGAAGATAAAGTTGGCAAAACCCTCCATGACATTGAAGCTAATGGTATCTTCAAAGATGCCACGCCACTGGCCAAGCAAGTGAAAACAGAGATAGATAAATGGGACTATCTTAAACTAAGAAGCTTCTGCACCTCCAAAGAAACAGTGACCAAAATACAAAGACAGTCTACAGAATGGGAAAGGATATTCACCGAATACACATCTGACAAGGGGTTGATATCCAGGATATACAAAATACTGGTTAAACTCCACAAGAAGAAAACATCCAACCCCATCCAAAAATGGGGCAATGAAATGAACAGAAACTTTCTCAAAGAAGAAATCCGAATGGCAAAAAAGCACATGAGAAAATGCTCTACATCATTAATCATCAGGGAGATGCAGATCAAAACCACAATGAGATACCATCTCACACCACAGAGACTGGCCCACATCCAAAAGAACAAAAGCAACCGATGCTGGCGTGGATGTGGCGAGAAAGGGACACTCCTTCACTGTTGGTGGGAATGTCCACTGGTTCAGCCCTTCTGGAAAACAGTATGGACGATTCTCAAAAAATTAGAAATTGAGCTCCCATTTGACCCAGCAATACCACTCCTGGGAATATATCCCAGAGAGGCAAAAATGTATAGTCGAAGTGACATCTGCACTTGTTTGTTCATTGCAGCGCTCTTTGCAATAGCCAGAAACTGGAAGAAACCTGAATGCCCAAGAACAGATGACTGGTTAAAGAAACTTTGGTACATCTACACAATGGAGTACTATGTAGCTGTTAGAAAAGATGAAGTCATGAAATTTACATACAAGTGGTACAATATGGAAAGTATCATGCTAAGCGAAATGAGTCAGAAAGAGAGGGATAGACATAGAAAGATTGCATTCATCTGGGGGATATAAAGTAACAAAGTATGAGATTAATACCCAAGAATAGCTGAGATCAGCACCAGGAGGATTACTCCATAACTTAGAGGCCAGCCAGGTATCCTAGAGGAAAGGGCAGTTCAGATAGAGAAGGGAGCACCAAATAAAGGATGTTTGGAGGATCCTCCCAGGAGGGGAGATGCATGTCGAAAGTAGACTATGGACTGAACATGTTTGCCACTCAATGCCTCTTTTGCAGACCACAACACCCAAAAGGAGAGAGAGAACACAGGGGATTGCCCTGCCACAGAGACAGGGGGGATGGGGGGATGGGGGTGGGAGGGATATTATCCATGGTGGTGGAAAATGGGCACTGGTGGAGGGATGGGTATCTGATCATTGTATAATTGAAACCAAAGCACAAAAAATTGTAAATCTACAACTTTAAAAAAATAAAATAAAATAAAGGGGGAAAAAAAAAAGAAAAAAAATTGCCTTTGATAAGCAATCCACTAGAGATTCACTAATGAGTCTTGACCCACAATTTGAAAAGTATTGTTCTAGTGCAATTCCTTCATTATGTATATGAGGGAAATGTTTCAGAGAAGAAGATAGCATGGCAAGATGACTCAGAACCCCTGTGAGACTAGGAACTGGGATTTCCGACCTGGAGTTAGTGAAAAAGATTGGGATGAGATAGCTGACATCAGACTTCCAGGTTTGTGGTTTCTAGTTGTGTGACCTTAAGGATGATTTCATGTCTTTTGATTAATCATTCATGGACCTCTCCTGGGGACTTTTGGACAACTCAGCAGAAGGTTCAGAGTGAGGAGCTATGACTGTGGTGTCATGAGGGCCCTGTGGTGCCATGATTAGCTGAGGTCACCCCAGAGGTGCTCAGGGATTGCCAGGGCTGCACCAGGCCTTGCTCAGGGACTACGTGGTACTGAGGATCAAATCGGGTTGACACACTAGCAAGGCCTGCATTGTAAGCACTGAACTCTCTCTTTCTGGCCTCTGTGTATTCTTTTTTTTTTTACTCTTTGGATCATACCTGGCAATGCACAGGGCTTACTTCTGACTCTGCACTCAGGAATTACTCCTGGCGGTGCTCAGGGGACCATATGGGATGCTGGGAATCAAACTCAGGTCAGCCACGTGCAAGGTAAATGTCTTACCCACTATGCCATCGCTCCAGCCCCCTCTGTGTATTTCGTGCTATACAAAAGAAAAAACATATTTTAGTTGGTTAAATGCAATATGTAAACTACCGAACATGTGCTCATTTTTATTAACTACTACTAACTGGAGCAATAGCACAGTGGGTAGCGCGTTTGCCTTGCACGTGGCCGACCTGGGTTCGATTCCTCTGTCCTCTCAGAGAGCCCGGCAAGCTACCACGAGTATCCCGACAGTATGGCAGAGCCTGGCAAGCTCCCTGTGGCGTATTCGATATGCCAAACACAGTGACAACAAGTCTCACAAGGGAGACATTACTGGTGCCTGCTTGAGCAAATAGATGAACAGCGGGAGGACAGTGCTACAGTTCTACTACTACCTCCATAGCAGAACTGAAATAGCGTGATCTTAAATGTATTGGGGTTTCCTTGCAAATTAATATGAGCAACAAATATCAACACTTTGGATTGCCACATCGTCTGCTTTCACAACATCTCTTTTCTGTCCAATCCCTTTTAGTTCCCACACCCTTAAAGACAGAATGCTTAGACTTTGGCTGGATATCTGCCCTTCCCCCCCCCACCCCCACTTTTTCCTTCCCTTTTTGTTGTTGCTACGATGATGAGATGATGATGACGGGATAGTGGGGTGGTGGGGGGGGGGTGGTGGTTACACGTGGTTGTAATGCCTGACAGTGGTCTCACTTTACAGAGATCACATCCTTTGTTGTGGCCCCAGGGATCCCAAATGACAGTGCTGCTTTGGATCCCGTCTGGGTGGTGCAGATCAAACAAACTAACAGCCTCATCCTTGCAACCTCATCTTCTATCACCGAGCTTACCCTGGGCCCCTTGTTTTGGTAATTTTGTTATATGCTTGGGATCAAGAAAAAGAAGTGTTAAGCATGAAATGTTACTGTCCCAGATGTAGAATGATTGCACTCATTTGTGGAATATAAAGTAGCATAATATGAGACTAACACCTAAAGACAGTAGAGATAAGGACCAGGAGGAACATGCCATGGTTTGGAAGCCGGCCCCATGAGCTGGGGGAAAGAGTAGTTGGGATGAAGTGACCACTAGGTAAATGATGTTTGGAGGGATCGCCTGGGATGGGCGATGTGTGCTGAAAGTAGAGCGAGGACCAAATATGATGGCCTCTTAGTATCTGTATTGCAAATCATGATGCCCAAAATTAGAGAGCGACTAAGAAGGACTGTACCTTCTTACTCACAGAGGCAGGGATGGGGTGAGGGTGGTGTGAGGGACACTGGGGACATTGGTGGTGAAAAATGTACGTGGTGGAGGGATGGGTGCTCGAGCATTGTAAGACTGAAATGTAATCATGAAAGTTTGTAACTATCTCATGGTGATCCAATGAAATTTATTTACTGTATCACTGTCATTGTCATCCCGTTGTTCATCGATTTACTCGAGCAGGCACCAGTAATGTCTCCATTCATCCCAGCCCTGAAATTTTAGCAGCCTCTCCTTACTGTCTTTCCCAACGCTGCCATATTGGAGACTCTTTCAGGGTCAGGCGAATGAGACCCGTTGTTACTGTTTTTGGCATATCGAATACACCACAGGTAGCTTGCCAGGCTCTGCCATGCTGGAGCGATAGCACAGCGGTAGGGCGTTCGCCTTACAAGCGGCCAACATGGCCGACCCGAGTTCGATTCCTCCGCCCCTCTCAGAGAGCCCGGCAAGCTACCAAGAGTATTCGATATGCCAGACACAGTAACAACAAAGTCTCCAATGGAGACGTTACTGGGCCCGCTCGAGCAAATCGACGATCAACGGGAGGGCCTTTACCTTTACCTTTATAAAATTTATTAAAAAAATATAAATAAGTGTTAATGTTCCAGAATATTTTGGAAAACTTATATATAAATATATTTATTCATAAATAATATATAAATAAAATATATCAGTAAGTTATATATCTATATATAGTTATTTATTTATTTTCCTGATAGGAAAAGTATGTAGGATTTGCTTTTTTCTTTTCTTTGTGTTTCTGGGTCACACTCTGGCAGTGCTCAGGGCTTACTCCTGGCTCTGTGCTCAGGAATCACTCCTGGTAGTGCCAGTGGATAGACCATAGGGGGTATTGGAAATTGAATGCCAGACAGCAGCATACAAAACATGTGCCCTATCTGCTGTACTGTCACTCTGGCCCCAGCTTTGTTTTTTCCAAAGTAAGGTAAATCTTTGTGGGCTAAATCTTAAATCAGTGCTAAAATTAATACTCTATAAAATAAGAAATCAAATTGTGGAGTGCGACTGAAATTGAATGCTGTCACAGGAAGTATGGAATTAACCTGAATATGTGGAGGAGTACCATCCTCTTGTAAAATCACATTTTTTTCCCTTTGTTTTGGGACTACACCCAGTGTTACTCAGGGGATACTCCTACTTAGGGCTTGGGAGTTGCTTCAAGGTCCCTTGAACACCAGGCTGGGACCACACAGTGTCTGGGGTTGAACCTGAACTTCAAAGCTGACCTCAGCCAGTTGAACTATTTTTCTGACCCTCGAGAGATACCAAAAGGTATCCTGAAGTGAAATACAGAGTAAGGGAAGATGTTTGAAAATAAAAAAACAAGATAACGGGGAGATTAATGGAGACACGGTGAAGATATTTAAGAGGTTATTTATGCTAGAAGATTTACATCTTTTATAACATAATTCTCTCATGTCTTTGGATATCTAGATGCCTTATTGGAAGAATTGGAACTTTCCACACTCCAAGACGAGAACTATTCCAGCCCAACTCCTTTTCCCCTGGATCAACATTCCAGAAAGGAGAATAACAATGATGAGAATTTAACGGTTCTTTCCAGGCCACCTGATGTAAGTCTCTGTCAGTAAATTTTCATTTACTGGAGGAGCTTGATATAGATGTTTGAGTGCATTTCTGAAATTCAATTGTATATCATAAAATGATGTAAAAAGAGGATCATATGTCCAAAAGTGTTTTTCTCTTTTTCTTGTGTGTGTATGGGGTGTTCAGTCATATAATGTTCAAATACCCATCCGTTCACCAGTGTACATTTCCTGCCACCAATGTCCCTGGTTTCCCTCCCCACCAACCCCATGTCTATGGCAGGTACTTCTCTGTTTCTCTCTGTCTCTCTGTCTATCTCTCTGTATCGCTCTGTCTCTCTGTCTGTCTGTCTCTGTCTCTTGCTCTCTCCTCTTAGCATTATGATTTGCAATAAAGATACTGAAAGATTTTTATGTATATCTTTTTACCTACTCTCAACACTCAGATCTTGTCCAGAGTGATCATTTCCAACTATTATTTTCATACTGTGATATTGTCATGATGACAAAAGTGGTTTTGGAACAGGGAGAATTGAAAAAATCTTCTAAGAAGAGTAGACCTCTTCTTAGAGGTATTTTTTTTCTCATGAAAAAAACCTTTTTCTAATTAAAGATATATTTAAAAAATGAGAAAATGTGGGGGTGGGATGTAGCTCAGTGTTAGAGATTTGCTTTGTGTTTATGAAGCTCTACATCCGGTAGAAAATAGAAAATAGAAATAGAGGGCACAGTCAGAGGCAGAGTATTTTCAAGTTCACATGGAAGAATCTGAAATTGCTGTGTCACCGTGGGCATCAGTGATACAGCTGCAAAGATGCATGTTTTAGCAATAAAATAGTTTTTAATATGTCCAGAAATTGCCTGGACATGGCTCAGCGGTAAACCACACAAGTTTTTTCAGGGTAACTTTTTTGGATTACTACCTAGCTCTTATTTAGAAATATAATTATTAGAATGCCTAGATAAGAAGCTCTAGGGAATCAAAACCAAGCAAAACTCATAAAAAATAGTGTTAGAAAGGGAACAGGGGGAATAAAACAAAAGAAAATAATGTGTTACAAAACTCAAATACAATTTATTAATTTCTGGCTAGAGCTATACTAGCAAGTGAGATAGTAACTAGTATTTACAAAAACAGTTGTCCCCTTCCTACGGGAAAGTTCACGTGCCTCATCACTATAATTAGAAGGATGTTTGATGAGAATGGAATTAGTGTAAAAGGAATTAAGAAGGTACTTTTTATATCTGGATTTTGGGAATATGATATTCGGATACATCTTTGTGCATGGCATGAAATATCCAATAATACAGAACTGAAATTTCAACCCTTGCATATTTCTCCCTTTAACTGTTCTTCCTTTCAGCTACCTACAGATGTCTTAACAATGCATGCTTATCTCTCTTCTAGGAATATCCTTGTGTTCTCTTTTTCTAGATTATAACTATAATTGACTCCTAATCTGCCCTTTCCCTTCCCCTTTCACAATCTGTTCTTCAAATAACAGAGTAATCCTGCAAAAACTTAAATCATATTCTTCTACTCAGAATCCTACAATGTTGGGACCGGAGCAATAGTATAACAGGTAGGGAGTTTGCTTTGCACACGGCCAAACCGAGTTCTATTCCCAGCATCCCATGGGGTCCCTCAAGCACCACCAGGAGTGCTTCCTGAGTGCAGAGGCAGGAGTAAGCCCTGAGCATCATTGGGCATGGCCCCCAGATATAAAACCAAGAAACCAGAATCCCACAATGACTTCCTATTTCACTTGTAGTAAAAAACCACAGGTTTTAGCCTGAAATTACGGTGGTCATCATAGGTGTTCAATCACATAGAAGAGTCTTGCGTTTATGCTTATTTTTTTTCTGACATTTTATTGGCTTTACCCATTGGAAAATGATGTTTTCCAATTAGTATTCCTGTTAAAGTAAGCCGGCATGAAGAGTAGAAGTCTATTTGGTTCCTTTGACTTGTTCCATGATTTTATGTGGCATGTGAAATGCATGGGCAGTAAAACCAAGTTCTCACTCTACTATGGTAAATTCAAAAGATGACTGTTGATATCCCTTTCTTCTTGATCCTGTCCAGACAAAACTTGATGGGCAGCATCTTTCTGAGTATGCTTTTCAGGGTGCTGACTGGTAGAGGTAAGCTCTGAAGCAGTAAGGCCTCTGCTTTTGGACGATGGCAGCAAAACTTTGGACTTTTTTTTTCCTGGCTGGACATTCAGTATACCACCACCACTCCAAATTGTATTATTTTATTTTATTTATTTCTTCACTTTACTTACTGAGATGGTATTACTAACTCTTCTGTTTCCTGCAGTGATTAATGTGTGCATTTTAGGGGTATAGTCTTACCTGTCTTCATAATATATGCTATCCAACCACAACTACCACCAAAGTATTAATAGCTCTAGCACAGTCTATTGGATACCCTCCCCCCTCTCCTTCCCCGCTTCCCCCTCTAGCTCTGGTAACCACAGTTCTGCAGTGTAGGCCACAGGCTTATTTCTCTTGGTTGTGTCTGCACCTGTTTTCCTTCTGTATATCACATATAGGTGCGAGATCATCTGGTATTCATCTTTCTTCCCTTTGTTTGCAAGACCCTCTCTGCTTCCATTCATGTTGTCACAAAAAAAAAGCAAGAACTTATCTTTTCTAACAGCTGAATAGTTTTTATTTATTTATATGATACAGCTTATTTATTAATGCAGCTGCTTCAGTTCACATAGATTGTTTCTAGATCTTGACTGTCATAAATAGCACTGCAATGAGCATAGGTATACATATTTATTTTCAAATTACTGTTGTGTTCTTTCGCTAGATAGCTAGACCAGTCCAGCTTCAATTGGATGATTAAATTCTCCACCAGAATGGGGTAAAATTGTGAAGGTGTATGATTTTGTATTATCTATATTTGTCAACCTGTAAAAAGAATGACAAAGAAAACCTAAGAGCTTTGCCTTTTAAAAAAATGTCATTAAATAAAAGTGTCCTAAAAGAAGGCACAAATAAAGTACCTGTGAGAATATAGGGGGCCAAAGTATTTACATAGCATAAAATCAATTAATTAATATAAAAATTAGAGTGGAGAATCTCTTCTTTTTAGAATTTCCTTTCACTATTAAGTTCATCAGCATTTAGAGAGGTTCCTGATTTTTTTTCCTCATTAAGAATGTGGTAGTCTGAAATGGGACTATCTTAAACTAAGAAGCTTCTGCACCTCAAAAGAAACAGTGACCAAAATACAAAGACAGTCTACAGAATGGGAAAGGATATTCGCCGAATACACATCTGAGAAGGGGTTGATATCAAGGATATACAAAGTACTGGTTGAACTCCACAAGAAGAAAACATCCAGTCTCATCAAAAAATGGGGCGACGAAATAAACAGAAACTTTCTCAAAGAAATCCAAATGGCACATGAGAAAATGCTCTACATCATTAATCATCAAGGAGATGCAGATCAAAACAACAATGAGATATCATCTCACACCACAGAGACTGGCCCAAATCCAAAAGAACAAAAGCAACCGGTGTTGGCGCGGATGTGGCGAAAAAGGGACCCTCCTTCACTGCTGTTGAGAATGTCGACTGGTTCAGCCCTTTTGGAAAACAGTATGGACGATTCTCAAAAAATTAGAAATTGAGCTCCCATTTGACCCAGCAATACCACTCCTGGGAATATATCCCAGAGAGGCAACAAAGTATAGTTGAAGTAACAACTACAATAGCCAGAATCTGGAAAGAACCTGAGTGCCCAAGAACAGATGACTGGTTAAAGAAACTTTGGTACATCTACACAATGGAATACTATGTAGCTGTTAGAAAAGATGAAGTCATGAAATTTACATACAAGTGGTACTACAGGAAAGTATCATGCTAAGTGAAATGAGTCAGAAAGAGAGGGACAGACATAGAAAGAGTGCATTCATCTGGGAAACATAAAGTAACAAAATAGGAGACTAACACCCAAGAATAGCCAAGATAAGTACCAGGAGGTTTACTCCACGGCTTGGAAGCCAGCCACACATGCTAGGGGAAAGGGCAGCTCAGATAGAGAGGGGAGCACCAAGTGAAGGGTGGTGAGAGGATCCTCCCAGGATGGGAACTCATGCTGAAAGTAGACTATAGACCGGACATGATTGCCACTCAATGCCTCTTTTGCAAACCACAGCACCCAAAAGGAGAGAGAGAACAAAAGGGAATGCCCTGCCACAGAGGCAGGGGGGATGGGGGGATGGGGGGGTGGGAGGATACTGGGATCAATCGTGGTGGAAAATGGGCACTGGTGGAGGGATGGGTACTTGATCATTGTATAATTGAAACCCAAACACAAAAATTTGTAAGTCTACAACTGTACATCATGGTGTCTCACTCACGGTCCTCCCGTTGTTCATCAATTTGCTCAAGTGGGCCCAGTAACGTCTCCATCATGACACTTGTTACTGTGTTTGGCATATCGAATACATCACGGGTAGCTTGCCAGGCTCTGCCATGTGGGCGAGATACTCTCGGTAGCTTGCCGGGCTCTCTGAGAGGGGCGAAGGAATTGAACTCGGGTTGGCCATGTTGGCCGCTTGTAAGGCAAACGCCTTACCACTGTGCTATCACTCCAGCCCATGGTGTCTCACTAATAAAAATTAATAAAAATAAATTTAAAAAAATGTGATAGTCTGTATCAAATTAAGAAACAGTAATGGTAAAATTTGGGACTGGAGTGTTAGCACAGTGGGTAGGACTTTTGCCTAGCATGCGGCTGACCCAGGTTTGATTCCCAGCATCCCATGTGGTCCCCAAGCACCACCAGGAGTAATTCCTGAGTGCATGAGCCAGGAGTGGCTCCTGAGCATCGCTGGGTGTGACCCAAAAAGAAAAAAAAAAGACACAGTAATAGTAAAATTTGAATATTATAGCAAGATTAGAGAAAGATTGAAATAATAATTTCAAGTTTGTTAATCATAAAATGTACCTTTGCAGAAGATTGTGATTATCTTAAAACATTAAAATAAAAGCATCATTAAAAAGTATCCATTTTTCAGAAAATTCCCATATCAATAGTATTAGAGACAGCAGTAGCTAAGAAAACAGTGTTACAGACTATATGTAAAAATAATTATTTTTGTTATTTTTATGTTTTTGTTTTTATTTTGTGGTTGCACCTGGTGGTGTTCAAGGCTCTGCACTCAGGAATTACTCCTGGCAGTGCTTAGGGGACCATATGAGGTGCCAGGGATCAAACCTGGTCAGTCGCATGCAAGGCAAGTACCCTACCAACTGTACTGTCGCTCCAGCCCCTACTTTTGTTATTTTTAAATGTACAAATAATATACAAGCTTTTGAAGATTTTGTTTTAATGTTCATAGATACATATCACTGAAAAATTTATTTTGAAAAATGTTTTACATGCAATTATTTCAGAGTATGTCAGTATAATGAAGCCAAACCTTGGGAAATGAATGCATAATTTAAAAATCATAATATTATATTTTAGTATCCACTTTCACTCTCAAAAATCTCCCTCAGTTTCAATCAGAAATTATGTGATCACCCAACCTGTAAGATCTGACCCTTTTCACTCTCATCTATTTACTTTGCTTCAACCTCTGTTTTGTTCAAAAGGTGCTCTTTGGAGCATTCCCTGACCTGCTATCCCCTGGCATCCCTTTCCTTTTCCCACCTCGTATGAGGCTTTAACAATTTTTTGTGTGTGTTTGTTTGGGAGCAAAACCAGTTGGAGCTTATTTAGAGCTTATTTCTGGTTCTGTGGTCAGGGGTCACTCCTGATGGTGCTCAGGGAATCATACGGGTTGCCAGGTATTGAACCTGGATCAGCCATGTGCCAGACAAGGTCCTTACCCACTGTTCAATCTCTCTGGCTCCATAAGTATTTAATTTATTTACCTATTTATTTTGGCCACACGCTGCAGTGCTCAGGGTTTACTCCTAAACCTGTGCTCAGAGATCACTCCTGGTGGTGGTGTGGTCATAGTGGAGAGCCATATGGGGAATCTGGGATTTGAACCCCAGCTGGTCTCATGCAAGGCAAGTGTCCTGCTCATTGTACTATCTCATCACAAGGCCTTTCTTAAGTGTCCTCTCAATTGGTTAATCAAGAAAGGACTCAGTCCTTTTTTTGATTAATATATTTACAATTTTCCTCCCTCTCCCATTTTAGATCTCCCTCCCCCTGATTAACTTTGTACACGAATTTATTAATTTATGTTAGTATGTAAATTAAAAAATTTATTGTAAGGTCCAGGGTACCACATTGTAAGATATAGGGTAGACAGGTTTTTTTTCATTATATTTGATTGCTATGTATCCCCGGCATGGCACATGATGGACACTCGATAATTATTTACTCAATAAATAAGTGAACTGCTAGTCAGCTATCCTTCAAAGTGACACATAATTCCTTTTGATACATTAAATTTAATTGTGTAATAGTCTTCCCCTAGACACTATCATGATAAAGGGCATTGCTCTGACTCATTTTATTTGTTTTAGGGTTCCTGAGTAATTCAGTGTTTTTAGGGCAGGGAATGGGATGTAATCTGTTTACATGGCAGCTCTTCTACTTAGAATTTAGTCTTTCTCCCTGGAACAGTTGATGTTTCTCTGCCTCGTGTTAGGAGATCTCTGAGATAATCTGATCATCTGTCTCCTTGAGAAACTAAGAACATCCTCTAAAACTGAATACAGATGTATATTAATATAGTATATAAGAAATCCATTCTTTATTTTCTCCTTAGGTGCAGCCTACATATATTACCAAGATCGAGAAATTCACTGTCTACAGGTATTTTTAAATTAAATATTAAAAAATGAAAGTGATTCAATGATTGTTATCAATATGTACTTGGGTAATAATGATAAATTATTTGGACTTCTCCCATGCACCCTCCTCTTCCTATCATCTTCGAACAAAGGTAGAATTCTGCCAAGCTCACTTGACAATCTTAAGATGCCTGGGTTTTACATAGGTGGTCTAGAATCATAAGTTCCACTATTTCTTCCATTATCAAAACAAGTCTAAATATTTCAAATTTCAAAGATGGATAGATATTTGGCTTGGCCACTTCGGCTATTATGTTCACAAAAATATTTCAGCCAGATGTCAACAAAAATATCAGAGCTAGGATTATGATTGAACTATAATGGTTTTCCATGGCAGACTGATAAAGACCCCCTTTTACATTTTTTGCTCAAAATTTATTGAGTTGGGGGAAGGAGTTTCCTTTCTTCAGTAATATATATTTTTAAATCCTCTTATTAAATAATTTTTATAAAGTAAAGTAAAATTGACAGTCTGAAAAAATAGAAGCATATAACTTATTTTTGCTTCAGTTATCACTTGTGATTTAAAAAAAACTTGACTTTTTGAGAAACAAAGGGCTTACAATTGATAAAGACATGTTGCAGAGTAAGATAACAAACTATTTGGTTTCAGACTAGAGCTAAAGGAACACATATGTGCAAAAAATAAGGGAAGGACCTGCATTATCAAGAAGCACTTTTTATAACTTCCTTTCTATAACTTTTTATAACTTGCAAATACTTTCTGCTTTACTGAGAATGTGGCCAATTTATTAATATATACTGTTAGTTTATTCCAATTTCAGAAGCTATCTGGTGGGCGTGCCTACTCGATCTTTTCCTCCTCACCTGCCTGAAAAAATTTAAAACAAAACAAGACAGGACATGGTAAATAATAAAAATCTCAGTAAATATTTGCTTTTAAAAATATATTAAAAAAGATAAAACTTCACTCAAAATGTCAGTGAACACAGAAGCATGATACCAAAACTTGAAAACTAGCCTAATAGCCGGTTTCCTTTACATCAGGCCTGTGATCAATTTTGACATACCATTAGTAGTTTATTGACACCCTTTCCTTATACTATAAATCTTTGGCCTATTTCCTGCCAGAGCCATTTCTGCTTCATCTCTCATCTGTTCTACTCTTAATTTTACAAGCAGAGTCAATTCCTGCTTGTACCCAGAGCACTAGTCAATTGTGTCTTCTAAGTCCAGCTTAATAGATTTTTGCTTTCCATGGATGGCACTGTGGAGAACTGGAAAATTTAGGACGTTTCTTCTCCCAGACTCCTCCCTATGCCATGGTCAGCAGTTTTATCTACTTTATGGCTGCAGCCAGAGAGGTCGATCTGCTGGTAATTCTAGCACGGGTCCAGTTGAACTGGATCTCTGGGTTTTGGTGAACTTTGCCTCATTTCTTTGCCTCTTTGGCCTACTGATTTCCTGTAGCACTGTAGCACTGTCCTCCCGTTGTTCATCGATTTGCTCAAGTGGGCACCAGTAACGTCTCTATTATGAGATTTGTTGTTACTATTTTTGGCATATCAAATACACCACAGGGAGCTTGCTAGGCTCTGCCGAATGGGCGTGATACTCTCAGTAGCTTGCCGGGCTCTCCAAGAGGGATGGAGGAATCGAACCCAGGTCAGCCTCGTGCAAAGCAAACGCCCTTCCTGCTGTGCTATCGCTCCAGCCCACTGACTTCCTACAATGTCTAATTTCCAGGTACTCTCCCTGTCTTCATTTTTGTTTCCTAGAGCTGCTCTCGCGTTTGTTATCAAATTGCTGCATTAAATTCTACCTGTTTACTGCTCGTGTTTGTATTTGCCCAAGCATACCTAGACAGATACACTTTCCCTTACTCAAGGATACCTGTTCTATAGACCTGTGTGGGAAAGAGAAATGACGTCCGGGTGGCAAGTTAAAACATAATAGATGATTACAAATTCTCAAGCTGGTCTAATTAATTCAGAGCTCACAAGGTCTCAATGTGCGGAGCATGAGAAATTCAGTTCTTCCTGCCTATTTCTATCATTTATGCAGGCTTGCTGTTTGGTGTTTAACCTTGAGAGTATGTTCAATCTTGGTTGACAATAGAGCTCCATAATAATATGTCTAAGAGTTATATGGCAATTACAGTATGTACAATAACTTAGAAATTTACTTAAAAACACGATGGAAATCTTGTGGTTAAAAATAAGGACTAATGCTCAATGCCTCTAGTGCAAACTACAACACCCAAAGGAAAAAGAACAAAAGGGAATGCCCTGCCACAGAGGCGGGGTGGGGTGGGGGTGGATGGGATGGGGGTGGTGGGAGGGATATTGGAATCGTTGGTGCTGGAGAATGGTTACTGGTAGAGGGATGGGTACTCGATCATTGTATGACTGAAACGCAAGAATGAAAGTTTGTAAGTATATAACTATACACCACGGTGATTCACTAATAAAAAAATTGAAAAAAAATAAGGGCTAGTGAATTCATAAAAATATTGCAAGGTTGACCAAAGAGATAGTACAGCGGATAGGGTGTTTACCTTGCACACGGCCAACCAGGGTTTGATCCCCAGCATCCCATGTGGTCCCCCAAGCACTGCCAGCAATAATTCCTGAGTGCAGAACCAGGAGTAACTAGGAGCATCGCTGGGTATGGCCTAAAAAGCATTATCTATATCTATATCTATATCTATATCTATATCTATATCTATATCTTTATCTATATCTATATAGCAGGGGATTTGATAGGGGAAAAGAATCACTGATCCAGGGATTGAACCCGGTTGTAAAGTATGTTTCCCAGCCCCTGGAGCTATATCCCCAACCCTTATACATCTTTAATGATATGCTATAAAAGTGACTTACTGGATTGGAGAGTAGTACAGGGGTTAATGCATTTGGCTTGCAGATTGTCAATCCAAGTTTGGTCCCTAACACTTCTTATAGTCCCTCAAGCATCACCCAGAGGGATCCCTGAGCCAGGAGTAAGTCCTGAGCCCTGCTAGGTATGCCTCTCCATCAAAAAAAAAAAGTGAAATATTAAATATACCCTATATGTGGGTACAAAGACCCAGAACAAAAAGGTATCATTTTTGACTAAAATTTAACCTAAGTCCAAATCCCACCATGTTTGCTGCTGCTGTTTTGTTCCCTGAAGAACCTTCAAAAGTTGATTCTACAATAAAATGGAAGAGCAAAAGCAAAATAGATCTAAATCATTCTTGACTAAACACTGCTAAGTCTCTTTTGAATATTAAGACTTACAAGCAGATGTTAGGCCTAGTGTTGGCATTGGCAAAATAATACAAAAAAACAATAGTGGAGATAATAAAATGTCTAAATATATAACTCAGCACACATGGACAATTGATTTTTTGGAAATTCTTGTATTTGTTGCCTTTATTATCATTTCATACAAAGATAGATATCTCATAATTAGAATTTGTAAGGCATTTACTGAATGCCTGGCACCATCCAATCCTAGAATATCTAAAATTAATGGTGTTACAGTTGAATGGAGAAAGATTAGCCATGCAATATAGGCTGTTAGGATATATACAGTATATATATATATATAGAGGGAAATGAAATGTAAATAGGATGCTATATCAATAAATGACAACGTCTTAGTTTTTGTTTATTTTTGGTTTTGGGGTCACATCCATTGATGCTCAGGGCCTACTCCTGGCTCTGCACTCAGGAATTTCTCCCGGTGCTGCTCAGAGAACCATGTGGAATGCCAGAAATCAAATCCAGGTTGGGCATGTACAGTGCAAGTGCCTTACCTGCTGTATTATCTCTCTAGCCTCATGATGAGGTCTTTCAAGGGGAGGGATATTCACTTTCCACATTTATTTTTCTGATTGTTAAATATTTATAAATAAATTACTTAGTAGTAGAACATGTACCTGAAAGACATGGATTAGCTCTCCTACAAGAGGAAGAGACTCATTTTTCTTCTACATTTTTTCCTGGTTTATAAGTAAATATTAAAATAGATCAATATAAAATAAGTAGTTGGCCTGTTTTCAGTTTTGAAAACATAATGTTTACATATGAAATATGAATTTTCTGCTAAGGATTTCAAATCTGAAATGCTTAAAGAACATTTGGTCCTATTTGTGGCTTCGCAGGGGTTGGGGAACTGCATGAGTTTGGTGGATTGTGAGGGAATCTCTGTGGTGGCTGATGTTGCTGGTGAACACAGTTCCTCAGTTCACCCAAATAACCCTGTAATTTTATATTACTTCTCAAAATTTATTCAATCGAAATAATGTGTTGTGAATGGAAATATATTTTAACTGATTATAATGATTAAATCCATCAGGGCCAGCAGGATCGTGTAAGGGCCAGGAGGATCACTGCATGACTTGAAAGCCGGCCTCACATGCTGGGGGATAAGGCAGCTGACATAGAGAAGGGACCACCAAGTAAATGATGTTTGGAGGGCTCGCTCGGGATGGGAGATGTGTGCTGAAAGTAGACTATGGACCGAACATGATGGCCAATTAGTACTCGTATTGCAAACCAAAATACGCAGAGAGAGAGAGAGAGAGAGAGAGAGAGAGAGAGAGAGAGAGAGAGAGAGGGGAAATGTGCCTGCCACAGAGGTGGGGGTGGGAGGGATGGAGGGGGTGGCAGGAGGGATACTGGGAACATTGATAGTAGAGAATGGGCACTGGTGGAGGGATGGGTACTCGATCATTGTATGACTGAAATGTAATCACAAAAGTTTGTAAGTCTGTAATGGTATCTCACGGTGATTCATTAAAAAAAAAATCCATCAGTAACTGAGGTGTCTAACTAAAAGATTAGTTTATTCAGGGATCACTCCTGGCAGGCTAGGAGACCATATTGGGTGCAAACCCAGGTGGGCTGCATGCAAGGCAAGTGCCCTATCAGCGGTACTATCCTTCAAGCTCCAGGATTAATTTAATGTATGATACCTATTACCTTTGAAGCATTAGCTTTGCAATTTGTATCC